TCATATTTAATTACTGTTGTATTTTTTTGTAAATATATATTTTATTACCTATTCCTGTATTTCTCTTATTACTGGTTCTTAACCGTTCTCTTTCAGGGTACCGTAGGGTACGACGTGTAAAGGAGATAAGTGTTTTATTTTTATTTATTCTAGTATAGTGGCTACCTAGCAGTGACCAACTGGAATTATTTTTACCTCCACTCAGTTTACCTTAAGTGCACTCTAGTGTACTACAGGGTCGCATCATGAATGAAATCAAGGAGCCTTAGAATGAACAAATGAGCAAACTGCAATACCAAAACTGGCGCCTGAGCAACCCCTATTCGGGAATCACCATCATAGCGCCACACAGACTCTTTGATTCACAGTAGGTGGACCAGAAGCATGTCACAAGCGGTAGGGAAAATACTGAAGAGAAACTCCGTGAACGGTATTCGCAAAATTACCAGAACATGCAGAAATCGCATAGGAATAGATTTTATAACACATAATGCACAAAAATCAAGTTTCACAAGATAATAAATGGAATGTCTTCATACCAACTTTACTGGTATCTGTAAGAGACAATGGTGTAGAAACTACAATAGAGGACATAATAAACGAAAAAGAACAATTTCCTGGCCGTAGTAGAATTTTATATAAATAAAAAGTTCACTGGTTTATTCGGTCGTTTTTGTTTTTATAAAATTTATGTACAGGTTCTACATATGTTTCGGAAGCACATCTTCTGAACTTTTTATTTATATAAAATAATAAACGAAGGGATTTCAGCAAAACTATAATATCTGCGAGAAGACTAAATAGGACGGCGACAAAAGATAACAACTGAATTTTGTAGCAACGGAAACTATAGTTACAACATTTAGAGGACAGCAATTACCTGAGAGTATATTAGTGTACAAATATATGTAAACCCTGTACTACAGTGTTTAAATTGCCTCAGATACGGACACACAAAAAAACTGCAAGGAGTAAAAGGAAATGTGCGGCGAAGAACATGAAGAAGAGGCGTGTCAAGCTAAAATAAAGACATGTCTATAATGCAAACAAAGCCACAGACAATGTAAAGAATATTAATACCAGAAGGACAAAGAACTTATGGTATATGTTGATAACAACAAAATAAAGATTCCCGAAGAACACTGAAGTACAACCGACACATATCAACTACACACACAGTAATAGAGACGTCCCACTTTTAAACCATAGGACAAACCAATAACAAATTATTGTGGTACACCAACGAAGACACATAAAGCAAACCTAGAATACCGTTTTTATACATCTGTACCCTTGAGAGGAGGAGGAGGAAACCCTCCTTACCACCAGCAAGATATGACATATTCGCTCTGTGCGTGACAGCAGCGCCAATTCATTTAGGTACTAATGGACTATTTCTGCGTATACTGACAATTAGTCAGTTTTAATAAAAGTAAATGGATTTGTAGAACAAGTAAAACATTAATTTATTATTATTACATATTTTTATCGCTTAAATTAAAAAAAAATAAGTATAATCAATAAAAATCAATAATAAAATATAGGCAGGCAACAGTATTTACGGGAAAATGTATGAAAAGTTGCCTAAGTCCAATAAGTTGTCTTTGAAGAATTGACCTATTCTGTCAAAATAAAAAAATACCATTAAATAATAGCGTAAAGTTTAAATGTATAAACAGAAGAATTGTTATTTATATTTTTTTTTGTTCGAAAGAAAACAGAATGAATGATTAAAACTGGTTTTCTATCAGTAAGTCACAAAATTGCATTTCAGCGACATACAATAATCAAAGGCAGAAATCTTGAAATCTTGGCATTGCTTAACATTTAGGAATAAAGGGATCTTGAAGAACATCGTAAAATGATAATTTATTGTTTATTTAAAACCTTTCAAGTATTACTGTTATTATTACAAAAATAAAGGTAATTTTTCTTCTTATTGTACACCTATCCATTTATTTGTTTGATTTAATTTCCACTTCCACAACGCAGCTACTTCGGTTGCTTATTGTATTGTTTTTACCTACTTTAAAAAAAAAGTAAAATGTATACGTGTATTTGATATGCCAAAAATACAAAATATCGCCCTAAAATGCACGAATTATCCGCAGCTAGCGCTAGTATCGCTTTTGCTTCTCCTACCATTACGCACTGAGCGAATAGAAGCACACAAGAAAATGCTAATAACATCACCATGTACAAACATTTGCAAACTATGACTGACAATCAGAAAGACCTAGCACAAGCGGCTGTTGCAATAGATTTAGTAAATTTTTTTAGAAGCATACTCGAACAAGCAAACGTGGAAGACACGATTGAGAGAATTTTATAGAAATGACCAAAATTGCAAACACGCTCAGAAAAACTGAAGAACACGAACCAACAATAACGTTTAACACAAACCAGTGGCACAGCCAGAATTTTGTGATAGGGGGGTTTTGAAAAAAAAATTGGAGCATATAAAAAATATATTTTTTACCTAGATTAACTTTTTATATTTCAAAATCGTCTATGTTATATCACTAATAGTTCCGACTAAACTTAATTACCAAAATGAATACGTAAACGATGAGCCATCGCCTCATTGCCAAATTTCATGACAGAAAACTTGTTCAATATCTTCAATAAAATCGTCTCTGAAGAAAGTTTGAAGAACAGTGGAAAACACAATAACACCAATAGTCAAACCAGGCAAAACTCCAAACAATGTCAATGACTACACTTGCGCTTACATCCAGTGTAGGCAAAGTGCTAGAAAACATCATATAAATGAGAATAAATCATCAACCTAGAACAAAATATTTAGAACCCTATTAAATAAAGTCAGGAAAGGAAAAGGCATCACAGACAACGTAACATTCCTGACAACGAAAATATATACAGAAGTAACGAAATCACTAAATTTTCCTTTAGTTTAATAGAATTGGTCATTTCAAAAACAACCTAAGTCAAAAAACTACATTTTAGAGGAGAAGCAAAAAATTGATAGGACTAATAGGTTATTTTTGCAGCTAACGTAGAAAATCTTGGTAAATATATATAAGAAAGAGTCGGACTTGTGTGGGTTTAGCACATAATGTGCGTCTATGGTCATAGAGTGGTTTGGTGGTGAAATGTCAGAAAGCCAAATTATTGACTAGTCATTTTTGAAATGAACGATTCAATTATGAAAATGTTTAAAGTTAATTTCCACCTGTTATAGTGTTCTCAAGAACCCCTGTATTTTTATTTCTTAAAAATTCCCGTTATTGAACATTTGCGAGCCCTCGTTGTTCAAAATGAATAATTCTTTACTCAAATTCGAATCAAGATTTAAAGGTTCAAAGTCAGGTAAATTATCTGGTCATTTTCGGAAATAGAAGGACATTTTTTCAATCCTCCGATTTGTAAATATTGGCTACTCCTACTTCGAACCACTCGGAAACCGAATTAGTCTGAGTGTAAAGTATAATATCGGGCTTCCCGAGAATTCTTTATCTTTCTTTCGCTGCTATTTTCCAGTTACGAAATTTCGAATTCTTATTAAATAATCCGCCATTTTGTTTTTTTTACTACTGGAGCTATTCGACGAGAAAAAAAGGCTTATTTAAACTTTGTTCTTAGAGAAAAGAATTCCAAGACCACCTGTAACACTCTAAGATCCTTAGAAATTCTTAGAAAAAAGCCAGTCCTGTTAACTTAAGTAATGTTACTGAAATTAACAAACATTTTAATTCATCTCCTACTACTCAGAAGCCACATGACCAATTAGCCTTACTTGATCGATACTATGAAAATATATTTCAAAATAAATTCGAATTTAAATCTGTCTCTTCTGATTCAGTTCGAAAATCTCTCAATCGTATAAAAAGTCATGCCATTGGTTTAGATAACATATTATTGCGCATGATACAGTTATTAGAAAATTATTAAATCAGTCATTTAACATTTATTTTTAATAAAATAATGTTTTCTTCTCATTATCCACTTTCGTGGAAACAGGCTTTTATTATAATAATAATAATCTTTATTTGCCTCAATTAAAATTACAATTTAGATTTAGAAAAAATACATGTATATAAAAAACGAGATAGGTAAATAAGTAGACACCCATATATTCATGGCAAATAGAGTGTACATTCACAAAAGCAGGCTTGTGCGTGAATGCAGTAGTTCATTTATCATGAAAAATAGATGTATAAAAATTAAATTAAAAAGTATAGGTAAATTTATAAAAGGAAATGTTTGAGATTCACATAATAGAATTTTAAACAATTTAACTGTAAACTATAATATAATATAAAAGGACAATCAAAAAACAGTGTTAGTAAAATCAATTAGAATATTAATAGACATTAAATTATTAATTTTTTTTTTAAGTCACGATAAGATTCACAGACTATAACATGTTTCATTTCGCGGCGAAATAAAGTTTTGCAATGTAGCAATCGGAAAAGATAGGATCCAATTTTTTATTTTCTTTTTAAATAAACTTGCGGAGTTAATTTTTTTTAAATCAGATGGTAATTGGTTATACAACTTTGGAGCCAGGTATGTAAAACTTTTTTTCCTATAGCTTTTTTCATTTTGGGTATTACGGCAGCGCTTTCCTTATATCTAGTTGGATAGCTATGTTGGATTGACTTTAAAGTGGCTTTATCTTTATGTTGTTTTAGTAAAATCACTTTTACGTATAATTTTTAAATATTTAGCACTCCAGTTTCTTGGTAGAGCTCAATTGTAGGGTAGGTTCTGGGTTTGTGAAATAAAACTTTTAATATACTTTTTTGAAGTTTTTGTAGGTATTCGATAAGAGTTTGACCAGTCGATCCCCAAGCAATAAGACCGTACGTTAGATGGCTTTCGACTAATGCATAATAAAGAATTTTCAGGTAAGTTAATTTTAGGATGTTAGAAATATTTTTAAGTTTATATAGTACAAATCTTAGTTTTTTTATTAAATAGTTTATTCACCTATTCATCTAATTGACGAAATTCTATTAAATAAAAAGCATTTAATGTACAAGTATATATGTTTATTTTTATTAAAAATTGTAATTACAGTAGTTTGCAAATTATAGAAAAAAAAAAGCCATTGAATTATCCTTTAAGATCTTTTATGTCTCCATTAACCAGTCATCAAATTCTTCATCAACATCTGTTTCATACACCTAACAAAAATAATGATAAATAAGTATCTACGTTTATTATTTTTCATTTCTTAAAAATCTTTCATTTACCCCTATGCTAAAAAGTGTAAAATTCGACCAATAACTTCAACATTCTGCAAAAATACATAATGTACCGTATTCTGCGGCTTAACATGGATTTACGCATTTTTCTGACGGGAAAGAATATGCCAAGTAATCTACTTCTAAAATATAGGTCATTCACTGAATTTACACCCATATCGGATTAAGAAATAAATGAAATATTTGACTGGTCAGTTGTATTTTAAACATTTACTCATGGGTGGCGTTATTTTGTATATTGCAAGGGGTTCTTATAGAAACAAAATAAATATAAATTTTAGGTATTTAATTTTGCCTCAGAAAGCTTAAAAGAGATAGTTACATGATTTTGTTGTTTAATAATAGTTTATTCAGAACATTAATTTTAATTTACATACACAGTTTTACCCTGCGATTAAGTAAGTACGATGATTAAAAATAACATAACTTTTAAAATTCTATATTAAACAGTGATTATTATTTATAATTGTCTTTTGACATACCTATAAATCTTCAGCATCACTCTCAAAATTTGTGTCACTAGCGTCGCTGTCATCATTAAGGGATATAATTATAGGATTAATTTCGTTTATCCTGTTTTCACGTGTCCACCAGTCGTCAATTAATTTATCACATTCTTTAACACTTTTTTGCCAAATTTCTGGGGTTGATGTATCCAGTGCTTGTTTCCATATTTCCCTTACTGCTTCGTCGCTGTAACCATTAATTCCAATATGATTGTCATAATACGTTTTACATATACCCCAAATGTGTTCGATGGGGTTAAACTGACATCATGTCCATAACTATGTATGACTTGATCTACCATATAAATTTATGGTGGTTCATGCCGTTTGGCTAAAGTTAACAACTCAGATTTAAGGGCGTATTGTGGAAATGCAACATTTTCGTTACGTAGCCATTCTTGTATTTTGGCTACAGTCCAATTCTGCCTTGGCGGTTTGTTTAAAAGTTCTGTGTGATAGCTCGCATTATCTAATACTATAACAGACGGTTCACTTAAATTTGGTAATAGTTTTTCATTTAACCATTTGATAAACATATCCGAGTTCATGTTATCGTGGAAGGCTTCTGATTTTGATTTAGAGGAAAATATTAATCCTGCACCATCCACAAAACCATTCTTTCCACCTGCGTGCAAGATTATGAGTCGCTTTCCCTCACTATTAGTAGTATGTTTTATTGATTTTATATTTTCATCTTGCCATATTCTTTTCGTCCCACCTTTGGAAAATATCCAGGTTTCATCCAAATATATAAACGAAGCTCCATTCTCTTTTAAACGAGTGTATTCTCTTAAAAAATTTATTCTTCTGTGAACAACATTATTTTTTCACATAAATCTTCTTTCTTAAATTTGAAACCTATTTCCTTAAGCAACTTCCAGACTTGTTTTGCCAAATTCACCAATTTGTATTTCTCTTAGGGCCATTCGCACCGCTTCAGAATAAATTTCCCCTTAGTAAAGTGAAACTTATTATTTAAGTATTACTTATCGTAGTTTACCTCGCACCAGCCTATTAGAAAGCAACGATTAATTAAGTGTCGGATTGATTTGGCAACGTCAAGATTTTTGTAGAAAAAGAAGAAATAATGTCAAATTTGAATTTTATTTTGAATGTTTAATGAAAGCTGCATTTAATGAGTGTATCGGATTCTTGCTGCGATTGGGGTAGTGGGATCAGCTTACTGAACGGTACGCTCAATTTACAAAAATTAAATTTGTATCGAACGATAATTCTAATTTAATGAAACGTAGCATTTTCAATTGAAAGTGAATATGTTTATTTGCCACTTGGAGTTTTCATCAACAATTTACAATAATTTTAATATTTAAGTATTTTTTTTTATTATTTTTATCACATTAATGCACAACCAGGTTGTTCTTCTAGCAATCGTAAATAGCGATTGGTTTTAGGCGTTTTAGGTTGATTTTAAGAGGTTTCCCGCTCATCTTACATATGCTGCGTTTGAGAATCCACATCGGATGCATTTTTTACATCTCGAGCGTTTTTTTATCCACATCGGACACATCTGTCCCATTACATTTACGTATACTGCATCACGTGATCAAAGATTTTTTACATCTCAGATGCATCCGATGTGGATTCTCAAACGCAGCATTAATAGAAGCAGAAACTATCGCAAAAATGAAACGCTCCCAAATGATACGGATCGATATAAAGCAATACGTACCGTAGAACGAAAGCGATTGGTATCGGTTGGGATTGTTATGTCTCACTGAACGCAGCAAAAGTTATGATTGTCACAGGCGCAGAAGAGAAAAAACTCCTGTGTCACAGGACTATTTAAAAAAAATAGATAAACTAAGAAGTAATAAAATAGAGCACGAAGTACAGCCATAATGAAAGTAAAATTAGTATTAATTCAATTAGTTAATATAAAAAAATTATGGAAATCATACTAACGTTGAAAGATGGGGATGAGTTTAATGCTAATTTTACAGAAAAGATTCACAAAAAAAACACTTTTTATAAAAATGGTTATAATAATTGTGTTGTCTGTAAAAATATTTGAGTTTGAAACCTACATATATATTATAAGGATACTATAAATTTGCTTTAATTTCATCAAGGCAATTAAGAATTTTCTTCGGCCAATTCAAATCGCAGTGTAAAAGTAATCGTTTTTTGTATATATTATTTTATATTCTTCGTGGCATCTTATATTAATGAAATCAAGCATTTTCAAAGCCTCATCATCTTCCATTATTTCCATTTTGTGTATTGCAATTTTACAAATGTTAATAAATCAATGACACAATGACAGTCAACATCACTCAAAATTATAAAAATTAAACATTTTAAGGTTAAGTAATGGTTTAAGCTGAAAAATTTCTGGGCTTAGTAAAGTGATTCTTAACGCCTTGATAAGTGGAACTTTATTAACGGTGCAAACGGTTATGCCTTCTTAAGTGTCACTTAGATGCTAAGTAAAAGCGGTGCGAATGGCCCTTAAGTTAGCCAGCAATGTGTCTAAGTTGACATGTTATCCTTTTTCACACGCATTTCATACACCATATCACGAATACGAAATTTTGTCCCACCAGATATATCCGACGTTTTCAGTTTTTTGCGAGGTGTGTCTTTTTTTGCTCTCTCCGCTTTTGACGTTTTTCAAAACATATTTTAATTTTGAATCACTTTATACCGAGAGCTGTACAGACGCGTTCATGCACACTCACTACTGGCTTTAAAAGTCCTCCGTTATCTTTTTCCGCCGTAAAATACTTATGTAGATTACAAATTAAGTCATCTACACGTAACACGCGCTTCGGAATTTTCAGTTTCGACATACGTTCTCTTCGAAATCCAAAACTGAACTAAATAATTTAGCGCAATTAGTCCTATAACATCAGTACAAAAATGAACATTTAATCTTAATTTTATACCTGAGAAGGGGACTTCCGGAAATTCCCTGACCATAAAGCGTTTATTGTATTCGGGGAAAATAGTATTACCATAAACAATGTCCAAAACAAAATTATAAATATTTTCATTTTTTCGTGTATTACTTTAGTAATTTAATTTTAATAAACATACTATATAAATATTTAAAAATTAAAATATATTCACCCTCTACCCACCGGAGGACTACGCTTATTTTACTCAACTACCTGATGCAAAATTGAAATTATCCTGTAGACCGGCTCTGGGTGTAAATTCAGTGAATGACCTATAACTACAAACAACAAAAATTGTATTCATTTGCTACCAGATGTCATTTAAGTCTTATTTTAATAAAAAAAGGGAGTTGCATGCTTCCATTGTCGGAACCTTAAATGAAAATGGGAATGCCATTTCGTAGTACAATATCCGGAACCCGAAGAAATCACGAAAGTGCCATCAGACATATTCTTGAATAGTTATATCAAGAATATTTACCTAATGGAGTAGAAACTGAAAGGGGTGCAATAAGTCTAGAGTCCTAAAGCTTGGGTACGAGTCTGCTTTGACCCATACTAATATATAGAAAGATAGATCATGGTAGCCGAAAAAACAAAACTTGCATTTCATTTTTCCATCTTTAAAAGAAAATCTTACATCATTTAACATCGTTACTTTATCAACATCGGCAGTAGAATGTGGCACTTGGGCTACCTCTTCCAAATACTTGGGATTATTCAATGCTTCAAATAGAAATTTCATTCCAAGTTCTCGATACTGCTTTATCACGAAATCTGAACAAGCAACGCAGTTGCTGTACTTTTCCGTGGCTGGTGAAAATTGCTCATAAGAAGATACGAATCCTCTTATGGAATGCGGGACTATTCCTAAGTGAGACGGATCCAATTTTTCTATTCCAAGGTTATTTACGTTCTGATTTGAGACATAAAATGCTGGAGCTGCAACCCTAAATGAAAAATCAGTTTAAAAGGTCCAAAAACTATCTGTTATTGATCCGAAAACAAATAGTACCTACCTTATCCCCTCAAAAAATTATTTTCCAAATTAACTTTATGAAATGAGATCTGAACTCCCAAAGTGAAATGAACTTTGTCCTGGCGCACAGTGGAACGAGCTTAAGGCAGCTGATGGACATTGGAGATTTTAAGTTTAGATTATTAATTAAAAATAATTTGCACTTTTTTTCTAGTTAATCACACTAACTAGTTAAGAAATATATGAAAAGCAAAACTAGTCTATTTTTTAAACGACTTGTATGTACCCAATAAACACAGTTAATCGGCACCGTAACTGGACTGAAGGAGGCTTGCCGGATGCCGGGCTCGGCCCGATATACGGGTGCAGCTTCGGCATATTATAGGTAGGGTATGTAAGGATGCCTCCCATGCCCGGCTAGCCAAATCCAAATACTCACCGCGTTTGGCCCGTAAGGATGCTTCCCATGTCTGGAAACCCAAATATAGACCATATGCGATTTCTACTTTAAAATTACGTCAAATGGTACGGTCCTCCCGGCTCAGAAGCAACCCCGACAACGGCAATCCGAGTACTCGTCTTCCCGTACATACCAGTATCAGGCCGAGCGAATGCCGACTATTTGTGGTTTACTGGGTATGTTCAGCGATAATTCTTTAACACTGTCCGATTTCAATGATTCTTTTTTTGTTGTTAAAAAGGGGGTAATTTAGGGGTCGTCCCATATAAATTTGGTCAAAATATAATAATTGAGTCCATGAGAAAATCCTCAACTCTTCATTTTCTATGTATAGCGGTAATTCTTTACCTCCTTATCCGATTTCTTTGATTCCTTTTTTGTTAGTAAAGGGGTACCTCAGAGGTGGTCCCCTGTAAATTTGGTCAAGATGTGGTGATGGAATTTGCACAATTTTGAAGTCGTTTTTTTAAAATTACTTTTATAACTTGTTTTCTATTAAATAATTCCAAAATACAGAATTTTTTACGAAAAATTTGGTGTTTGAAACTCGACCTGACACTACAACACCATTTAGAATATAAACCTAATTTATTTCTAAATTAAACTCGTGGTGAAATTACGTAATTTGTAAATTCTTATTTATAAAAAGGTAAAATATGATAAAGGGTGTTTTAAAGGGGTCTAGGACGTTTCGCGGTTTCGCCATCGCCGTTTCGTCGTCGAGCCAGTTCACCTACAGCCGTTTTGCCGTATTTTGAGTTTTTTTATTATGTAATAGAGTGCTATTAAGTGTGTGCGATAATTTGCTGATAAATTTGTGGTGCGAATATCATTTTTTTTTGTTTTCAGGATTTTATGCTTTTTGGGACCTCCGGATCGACTTTATGGAGCTTCTACTCACATTTCGTCGGTTTTTTGTGTATATTTCGATTGCAAATACATTTTAAACGCGTTTTTTGTGTTTATTTCCCGCACGCGTGCAGGGCTCCGCGTCCTCCTTTCCCGCCCCCCTACACGTGAACCATTGCTAAAAGAGCTTCCCAAGAAAAATTGTTTTTCCTCCCCTTCCTGTTTAGGTTCAATGCCATCTTGTACTTTTTAAATTTTATGAGGTTCTGGTTTGCGCAATTCTTAAAGAGTAATAAGGATTTGGCAGTGCAGCTTGAATCTCGTTGCGTTTTCGTCTGATAGTTTTCCTCAGTGCGCAAATATTTGGCAGTCGAGCTTGGGCAGCCTGAGTAATATTACCCAAACTTTCGTTAATAACGTTTAATCAAGAAATAATAAAAACAAAATTTTAAAAATAGTATAAGTTGGAAATTCTGTATCTGTAACATGTGGAGGGTGGGTTACCCCACGGCACTTAGGCCTCACTAGGCCTATTGTGCATCCTCCTAAGAAAATAGGCACCTAGTAGCTCGTGAGCCAGCCTACAGATTTAATGTAGTTGACAACGTCGCCAAAAGGTGCTTCTCTTATATCGGCCGGTGTTAGCCGATACTCGCCGAACACAAATCTTCTAATAAATGAGAGCGTCGAGCGTCGATGGTCTCATCTTCTTGTTCGCACCCTCTGCAGAGTGCGGATTCTGACAGCCCCATAATATGGAGATGTTTCCGTACTTGACAACGACCAGTCAGAATGCCTGTGACTGCTCAGATTCTGTCTAGTCATCGTCAAATATTTGTTTGCTGCAGTGTTGTCAGGATAACTTAAGAGTTCCCTGGCAACTCAGCAGTTTCTTGTTTCATCCCATCTTTCCTTGAATTTCACAAGGGAATGTTCTATAATTAGGTCTGTCACTATCGATTTTGTCAGGCTAATAGAAGGGGCAGGTCCAAAAAGTATTTGGTTGGCTGCTTTCTTGGCTAGTGAATCAGCAAGACGGTTACCTTTCGATGTGGCGAGACCTTTGAACCATCTTAAGGTGACTACATTGTTGATGGATATTTCGGCCAAAGCTTTGTGACATTCTAGTACTAACCCTGAGTGGTCTGTTCAGGGTAAGTAATGCTTGTCTGCTATCTGTATAGATGAGCATGTTCCTTCCAGTGATATTATTTCTGGTTATTTCTTTTGCTGCTATGAGAATCCCCGGTACCTCTGTTTGAACTACACTGGCACTATTGCTCACAGCCCATTTTATGTTAAGGTTTAAGAATACTGCATACGTTCAACAAATTATTAATTACCTGAATTGTTCCTTCATTTGCCACTTCAGCGAGTTTTTTAACGGCTGTTGCTATTTGCTAGCTTCTACATCTGCTGCCGAAGTTCCATGGGTGTGTATGTTCATTTTTTTTATCGTTTATATATAACTAATATAATACGAGTGATATAATTAATATTTAGTTTCAGTTTAAGAAGTGATTAAAAGAAGTGAGTAACCCCATAATACGGAAAAAATTCGTACGGATCTTTTCCGCGTGCCGTTAATAGTAAACTGATAAAATTAACTGCAGCTTTCGTACTGGACGGAGACGGATTTTTTCGTTACGGTCAATTTGAAAACAGCCGTGTCAACGACTGAATTGTATGGTACCGTACCGTCACCGTCTATCAGTGGCCTAAGTAACTTTATGCAGGCTTTCATATACGACGATTTTTAGTCGTCTGCCGTCTGCATATACAAAAGTATAGGAAACGACAATAGTCATATATAGTGGGTGCACCTAATTAATCAGAAAAGAGATAAAGTGGGCAAAATTACTTTCGGATGTCCATTGCATCCTTTGATGAACTTCATAACCGACTAATAAACAATATTCAGCGGCATAATATTAAAATAAGAAATTGCATTGAACCTATGGAAATGATAGTTGTTTCTAGTTTATTAACTACAAAATCAATAAAAAAAATTAATATGTCAAACTACTAGTTTATAATATTTTCGTTCATAGTCATATTGACGCGTATACCAAAATACAAAATATTAATGATAAACGAAAACCAAGCTGCACGCAATAACGGACGGTAGACGACTAAAAATCGTCATATATGAAAGCCTGCATAAAGTTACATAGGTCACTGATAGACGGCGACGGAACGATACCGTACAATTCAGTCGTTAATACGGCTGTTTTCAAATCGACCGTATGGAAAAAATATGAAAGCTGCAGTTAATTTTATTAGTTTACTATCAATGGCGCACGGAAAAAATCCATACGAATTTTTTCCGTACGGAAGAAATCTTTGTGTCTGAAAGAGCCCTTTATATTATTGAATTTTTTAATCTACGAAATATTGTGAGACATTTTTGTTAGTATCAGTATGTTTTCTTTCAACTTTTTTGTTACTGTTATTATAAAAATAAGATTTTGCTTATAAAATCCAAACAGTTTGACAAAATGGCATTGAAATTAGAATCTGAATGTTTAATAGGTATTCTATCGCATGGAGCACATTTCTGGTTTCACAAAAAGATTTTAGTATTATATTTTCTCGCTCAAAATCTCTGATGATTCACTCAAACAAACACCGACGTTTATCACGCCTTTATGTTACGTCACTGTTAGATTGCGATTCTTCATTCGCTCAGGCTACGTTCAGGTCAGTCGTGATTCGTCGTTCGTTGAGCTCATATCGTTTAACCAAGTGCCAGTCAACTCCACGTGGACTTCCAGGGTAGTATTTCAGAGTTTTTTCTCGTAGTTTCAGCGTACAAATGGACGGCTTTCTGCAGAAAGGAACCAACCCATTAATTTACAAATTGATAAAAATAATGGACAAACATTTTCATACATTCAAAATTCTACACTCTATTTAGATGCATTATAGAGTTACATATGTTTATAGATATATTTCATTTACTTATTCATGTGTGCCTTTTTATATTAGAAGATTAATTTGGCAAAAATAATTAGATTCATGTGGGTTGGTTCCTTTTTGCAAATTAATGAAACTGCTGGTTAAGTGAATATCAGTATTATTGAAAACTAAAACATATATTTTATACAAACTTTGAAAACTTATATAACATTTTCTTAATCTAAATCAAAATCAGGAGATCCACTGAAACCATCTATGTCGTCATCTAAACCCTCTCTACTTTGTAGGTGTCTGTAAAAATATTTGCAGTCCTGGGGTATAAGATGCATGATCGATTTAATATCTTTCAGTTTTGGAGCCGAGATTTCTTTACTATCTGGTCACATGGGTAAAAACATATCTTTGAAGGATTTTCTGTTAGGTCTTCCAACTTGCCTTTTCTGTATGTCTGATTTTTTTTTGTCCGCAGTAGTAAATTTACCAGGCTAGTTCCTGCAATTTTCTCCAGTTCCCTTTGAGTTCCGCACTTGTGAGATTCTTCAGAATCACTTATTAATAATTTAGAACTAGCTGCGACAGGAACCAATTTAATTTCATCATCTAAATCACAAGTTTTATCGTTTTCTAATTGGGTTTCGCAAATATGAGATTCTTCAGAATCACTAATAAATTTTGATATAACGCAAAAGGAACCACGTCAGATTGTCTAACTGGATCATAGTCATTCGGATCATTGATAGATTCACAATCAGCTGTGATAGGAAATCTAGTCTGCTCCATATTGGATACAACAATCTATAAAAATATCACTTGATATACAGAAAAAATGAACTTTTGTAAAAATTCAATTAAAATTAAGAAGTTATTTAATACTATATTTTTTTTGAATTATCTAACATAAAAAAAGTAATTTCAACTGTTTACCTTGCTATTACCAGAGATTGCCATTTCTAAGAGACGTTTCGCCCTACTAGATCCATACATAACTGCAAGGTGCTGCAAATGTTGTCACTACACAGTAGACACATTAAAACTCAAAATAAACCTTAAAAAACACATAAAAATGTACAAGAACCAAACACGTAGACACATCAATTTCAATCAGTCATTTGGCAGAAAAGAACCAACCCACTTGGATTTATTCCATGGACCAATAACTATTCTGTATTAAAGACCCAAGCCACTTGAGTCTATTCTGCAGACTATACATCACTAAAATCTTGTATGTTGGTTGGTTCAATACCCAGTAGATGACGCCATATATGCAAAAGTGGATTGGTTCTATTTTGCAAATAATTTTTAACTATTTGGTTGATCAAATGCCCAAATATTTAAGAAAAATTGTTTATGTAGGTTGGTTCCTTTCTGCAGAAAGCCGTCCAAATATTGTTTTTAAAATTTAAATTATGGCATTTTGGAGACCATTTGAGACTGAAGAAATTAATCATTTGGAGGTTCAAGCATTAAATAATGACAATGAGTTGGAGGGTAAGTAAATAAATACATAATGGAAATGTATAGAGCTCGTTTATTTTAATGTTTTGGTAAAATTATTTCAGAAATCTTAGAGTAATTTAAGTGTCTTTTTTATAGCTACCGAAACAGTTGCTTCCGAAAGTGACCAAGAAGAGGTAAACCATAATGAAAACTTCGACAAAAGAATTGATGTGAGTGCTCAACAAATAATTTTAAATATGTATTCTCAATTATTAAAAGAGAAAAATGGATCCAATTATAGGATAATTAGTAGAATACGAGAATTAACAAAAGTTTCCAAAAGAAGCATTAGAAGAATTATCTCTAGAAAAGTAGTTGTGACACCAAAGAAAAGAGTACAACCATCATTAGTAAAAATGAACAATGTTTTGAAAGAACATGTTAGAAAAAAAATATACCAATTGTATAGCGCCAATATTGTACCATGTTTTAATGATATTTTAAAAGAAATAAAGGACATTCCAGGATTCCCCTATAAAAGTTGTAGCGCCATTCGCAAGGTTTTACATTCTTTAGGTTTCCGATACCGAAAACTCAATAAACGGCAAAGAGTTATGGAATCTCAACGGATAATTAACTGGAAATACGATTATCTTAATACAATTTCCAAGCATCGCCAAAATGGAAAAAATATTGTGTATTTGGACGAGACGTGGTATGACACCCATGATGTTGTAAAAAAAGGATGGAGTGACAAAACTATTAAATGTTCGTTAGATGCACCTGTGAGCAGGGGGAAAAGAATAATTATTTTGAACGCTGGAAATACAGATGGTTTCGTAAAGAATTGCTTGTTATTGTCAGCTAAAAACATTAAGTCTTGTTCGGCTGATTACCATCAAGACATGGATAGTAAGCTGTTTGAAACATGGTTTGGTGAACAACTGCTCCCAAATGTATTACCCAATAGTGTAATTGTGCTAGACAATGCTCCGTACCACTCTAGGCAGACTTCAGAAATACCTAAAGCCAAAGCTAGAAAGGCAGTAATAGCAACTTTTTTAAAAGAGAGAGGTTTGGATATTCCAGATGATATTCTAAAGAAAGACTTGATTGTTTTGTTAAAAGGGCTTAATTTAAAACCAAAATATGTAGTCGATGAAATGGCCAAAGAGTCTGGGCATGAAGTGATAAGATTACCTCCATATTACTGCGTCTTTAGTCCAATAGAAATGGTATGGGCTGATATTAAAAATCAAATAAGGAAAAATAACACAAGGCCTACTATGAGTGAACAACTTCTAATTACAATTAGAGACATTTTTTCTAAATTTAATCCTGAATAATGGGTTAATTGTATACGCCATGTCATGGAAATTGAAAAATCTTACGAGCTTACGAACGTTCACCCTTTTATTATTGATGTTGATGACACTTCAAGTGAAGATGGAAGTGATGACGAATAAATTGTTTTGTTATCTTTGTTTTATGTTTTTTTATTATAAACAATTTTTTATTTTATTTTAAAGAATTATTTTTTATTTTATTAAAAATGTGATATCATTTCTAATATATTTTTTTGCGATTAATCCCACTTAAATTTTGAAAAAGGTAGACTGGTTCTAATAAGATCTAAATATAGTTACTTAACAGTACATGTACCTATAAACATATTTATTTTAAAAATTTTAATATAATTAACCTAATGATATAAGAATTGAATACCTACATTCGATCGCAAATGTATTCTATATTTTGTTCCTTGATACATAAAAATATAAGAACCTTTTTATATAAAAAAAATATTTTAAAAATACCCAATCTACCTATCAAATGTAATCTAATATTCTGAAATACTATATTAGTCATGAACCAAAATTATTTAAGTACGGTCCCTAGACAGCGGTACAACATAAAGAACGCGGCACCTGCACTTACATCGCTTTGAATTGCCGAAATAGAGAAAAGCGGCCAAATAAAAATAGTCGATACTAACACAGTACTGTTTACCTCCGAGGTACTGACATATTTCACACAAACAAAATCACCAACGGTAACACTAAATAGTGAAAAGTTAGCAACTACACATGTACTAAACAGTATTCATAACGTATGGGCCACAGACGGCACAGACGCGTCGAAACAAAATTTTCCTTAGTCCCCTTTGTTGCAAGCGGTTACAGCAAAACTTTGTTTTGGTAAATACATCATAAAGTAGAAATGCCATCAACAAATAATCGGGACTTAGTGGGACTTTTTAATAGTAACGAAAAAGAAAAGCGACATGCACTCGATTTCGCAAGAAAATACATATTTTCATGAAAAATTAGGTTAAATAAAGACATATACGTGTTTCAAAATCACTCTAAAATTAATTGTTAGTAAGAATATGGAATAAAATATAGGTACCTATGAAAAAATGTTGGCTAAATGAATCAAGTAATTTATTTAATTAGAATTTGGTTCTATTGGTTTCCTACACATAAAATATATTTAACAAGGAACGCAAGTGTGGTATTCCATAATACATAGCTTTGGGTAAAGTTTTCAATCAAATTTACTTCTAATTAAACAAATTATGTTTTTCTAAACATATACTTAAAAAAATATATTTCAAAAATTTAAATGTAATTTTTGCTATTATGTCCAGCGTTAAACATACGATCGTTCCAATGTGCGTCGGAGGGATTCGAACCCACTTATTTGTCTTCTACCCATACTTCCTGATAGCAGTGATAGCCGAATCGGTAAGGTTATTTTGCATTGACATGTACCTACGTTGTAACGTATTTATGCAGACTTAACAAGGCCAGAAAACTTAGGAGAGGATCTGCATAGGTTCGCATGTTTCCCTAGAAACCCTAGACGATACCGAATAATGGTTTATAGAAGGATTGCGAAATTCTGTGCTACTGATTTATGTTCAAATTAACAATTCGGAATCGGGACATCTAATGTAGGTACTGATATCCGAAATGGTAAGGCAGTGTCTAAGAACATAGGTGGGTTCCAATCCAATAAAGTTTTCAATTTGGGAGTTAATAAATAATTATTCATTGCTTTGTAGAGGTAATTTTGTAAAAAAGTTTTACAATGTTCAATGATTAAAACCAGAAAAAAGGAGTTGCTAAAACTGTTTATGACCAGTGGCGTAACTAGTTTCAGTGTTGGGAGGGGGATGGTTATAGGCCTCTGACTTATTTGTTAACAAGTATTGTATTTAATAAAAATGAATAGAACATGTGAGTTATATTAAATTAACTGAGTAATATGACAAACTAAAAGAGTATGGAAGAAAAATTCCTTTGTATCTTACAATAAGAGATACAATGGACTTTTTTCCCTACCCTTTCACTTTATGATATTGGTTAAGAAACAGCTTTTCGCTTGCTTTCTAGGAATATAAGAACTGATATCTATCTACTACTAAAAATTGGTAATTAAATAAAATAAAAATATCTATATCTTTTTTTATAAACAAGAGGGGTAAATTTTAATATATCTCTTGTGTTACGATCGTTCTCAACCAATTTAGAATCCTTCTTATAGTTGGCATTTGAAATAGGGGCAAAATAATTAAAACTTGAAAAACAAAGGGATATGTTTTTTGTTAGTATTATTTTTGATAGATCAAATTTAAAAAAAATATATTTAAAGTCGTTTTTGGATACTGTGACACCCTGTGTATATTCTTACCCTCTTTGGTGTATTATTAGAGAAACGGCCATTTCAGCAGCCAAAGCTCCTGCTATTTGTGAGACTCCGGGTCTAGTAACGGTACACTGTTGATCCAGAGGTCTGTTTTTCGTAGACTAAAATAAATATGTTCGAATATAGGTTTAAATAATACCCTTTTAATTATTAATCGTGCATCCTTACGTCACCGGGTGCAATAATATCCGTGCAAAAATAGCATCCCAATTTTCTTCCGTCTAATGATTTCATTCCAATAGGACAAGGAAAGTCTTCGAATGGTTGCTCTGATTGTGTAGGATTTTGATCCATATATATACCATGCCTCATTACTAGGTAAGAATCAAAACTGAGTGCTGCATTTAATACCATCTAAAATAAAAAATGGAATCTCAATGCATTAAAGTAGTTAAAACGACTGGAAAAAGCAAAACTTTGCCTTGGTTTTTTTATAAACCTACCCATAATGGCAAATATCTATTTATTTAAAGAATTTTTATTGGATTTTAAGATTATTAAAATGAGATGTTTAAAAATATAAGCGACCTTAAATCAAGGTAGTATGCTAAAACATCATTATCTTACTGTCCATTTTCTTCGAAGGATTTAGAAAATATAGAGCTACCAATTTAACTTTTTTATGTCCTTGTATAATAGCAACACGATCAGACGACTACCGCATGGTTAAGTCACGAGTTGGATCACCTCAGGAACATGCATGGCTAGGAAATCCTTTAATAAGGCAAGAACCACAAAACTCAAAGAGAACTGGGCTATTTACAAATCTCACCTCAAAGAATACAAAAAAAACTCACTTCACAAAAACAGAGATGCATGGAGATATTACTGCGAAGGCAGTGAGACTTCAAAAAGCTCTCTCAAGAGATCCACATCAAAACATTGGTGCTCTAATCAAAAAGGATGGCATGAAAACTGCAAACTTTGAATATACAATCAAACTTCTGCTGTCAAGACCCTTCCCTGACTCTGTCATCACAGACGTGGACGACTGGGAAGAGGAAGAATACAACACATCTGTCTATGACTGGCACTCTGCCAAACACATTGTAGATGATGACAAAATTAGATGGGAAATATCTAGCTTCTCTCCATTTAAATCATCAGGACCTGACGGTATCTATCCAGCCCTACTTCATTGGGAACTGGAAGAACTCACAATTGGTAGGTATATTAAGATCCTCGTTGGCTCTGAGGTATCTCCCCAAAAAATGGAGAAAGGTAAAAGTCGTCTTCATGCCCAAACATTGAAGAATGGATTACACTATCCCAAAAACATACCGACCAATTAGTCTGACATCGTTTTTTATGAAGCCATTGAAAAGGTACATAAAGAATGTGGTGATTACAACAAAACCACTACACACAAATCAACATGCATACGTCCCAGGCAGAGCTACTAATTCAGCCCTTCACCTAGTTGCTGGCCGGGTAGAGAGATCCCTGGATAATAAGGAGTCCGCCTTGGGTGTTTTCATAGACATAGACTCACGAGCTAGGAGGTGCCTATCATCTTAAGAGGATGCAGAATGGGCCCAGTGAGGCCCAAGTGCTGCGGAGTTATCCACCCTCCACTCGTTGCAGATACAGAATAGCAAAGGATGAGTATACTAGCGAAAAATGAAGCAGTTCTAAGAAACTTAGATGAAAAACGTTTACCTTTTTCTTAGCCGCTGCTATAACTGTAGGCAACCATCGACTTTCTCTAGAATCCAACATTAAAAAAATTACATCGTGTTTTTCTATGAGCTGAGAGATTCTTTCGACATCTTCGACGGTCTGATCCATTGAACAGTCCTCTGTATGACCAGGCATTGGTATGGTAAATTGATGACCACTAGTTTTCTAAGTATGAAAAAAAAATGCACTACACTAAAAGTCAGAGCAGTTGTTTTGTAAATTAATAATATTCATCGAGTTGTTTTAGATAATCTGTATGGATTTATTCATCTCCGCAAAAAGTATGATCTAAAAATATTCTTACCACGCCTGGGCAAATTAATTTAAGATTATCGGCTGCTGCTTTGGCTTTCGGTTTGACATCAATTGAATCTTGAAAAGTGAATAAACTTTGTCTTACTGGGTTTGAAGTAGATACATTGCCTTTGTCAACAAATGTTATGTTTCTTACACCCCAACTCTAAAAAATTTTTAGAGTGAATTTTTTTAAGTGGAATTAGTGAGAAGAACAAAGAAAAATAGTCCTGGTTTGGTTCAATAGTATTATTACGCAGAACAAGGCAATGTGATAATTGGAAAAAACTACCGATACAATTTTACTAAAGCAATATGCGGGATAGATAATTGGTAAAAATATACTGCCAGTAATTACCAACAAAGATCTTGCAACTGCACAACCCAGTGTACCAGCTCCCAGTATAAGGCAATCTGCTGTGCTGATTTTCAGATGCTCATTATTGGGTAGTAGGTCCCATTTGAGCGTTCTTACATCTACCTGTACTGAAGTTTCTGCCATACTAAAACCAAAACGTCAATGGGAAATAACATGCAATATTATATTTCTTTAACTATATCGCTAAAACAAAATATATTACAGATATCTTACCTACTGCATGTAATTTATACAATAAATTCACTTCATAAATTTAAATTGCATCATGAAAAATGTACGAATCAAAATGACAAACTAGAAATATAAACAAAAAATATTTACGAATTCTAGTTACCCTTTTCTTGAAGAAGATTACGTGTTTTCTTACCTTATTGAATTTTAAATAATTCATCTTAATAATGTAAAAAATATTTCTGATAACACTCTTTTTTTAGAATAAAAATCAAATTAAAATAGTTCCTTTATTTTGAAATTTAAAATTTGACATTTTGATAGATTCTGAGCGGTATGCATCATGGAACCATAGAATAATAAATAATGAGGTATAAAAGTATAAAAATAGAAAGATATTAGGCATTCCAAACAAATGAATTACCAGTGGGCAGGTTTGGTATATCTAAGGGTGGCGACATATGGTGTATTCTATCTACTTTACGTAAAATCATGAATAATGGATTACATTTAAATATTTTATGTCAAACACAATAAAAATAATATTTAAAAAACCCACCTATACATTTCTTCATACATTGGCAGGCTTGGCAAGTACTACTTCGAATAAAAATAGCGTCCAAATTGCAAGACTATGTCGCTACCCCCTTAAATATACAAGAATTTCCCACTGGCACCTATTGTTTGACAGGTCGTTGGAATGCCTAATTGAAAATTTCTATAACATCAGCCACAGACAACGTAATTAGAGGCAAACAAATTCCATGCTAAAATAGGACTTGCAAACCTAAGGTGTCTTAAAAGTTTTGACTGATTGACATTAAGTATGTGACATTAGGGCACATACTTCGATTTTAGGGGTTGTGGGTTATCGTACGTCGCACATAGACGTAGTGTTTCGGGAGGGTTTGTTTATATTGTTGCACTGGTAACTCAATACGCTAATTCAGTGATGATGTAATTATGGTTCCACTGACAATTAAAGTAACAGTAGATTTTTTGAGTGCGTTTTGTTCGTTTTGTTTACCTAAATTATATCGTTTTTTTCCCTTTTATAAATATATTCCTAAAGTAAGTATAGATAACATGCATCAAATATACAATCGTTTAGTTACTAATTACATACCTTGAAACTATTTTTTATGACCTGTAAACAATATTTAGAAATAAACTATACTCTGTTTTTAAACTAAGAGGAGCGATTTGAATTTAAGTTGGCAATTCTGTAGCTGTCTGATTGGTCAGATTACAGTCAGTTTCACACATTACTTTTTAGCATGAACATCAGCTAATAATTGACATTGTTGACAGTTCTGACATTTTATAATTTGATATCTCATCCATTACTTAGTTTTTTTACTTTATTTCGTAAATATTATAGTTCTTCAGCAAGCAATTGTATTGAAAATCTACAATTATAGATCCTTCTACACTGAGTACTATTAAAGGTAGCAATTCCTGAAAAGCCTTATAAGAAAGGGAAGACAACTTATTATTTTACATGCCGATTCTGAAGGTTTTGTAGAAAATGCATTATTGGTTTTTGAAGGTAAAAAGACGGGAGATTACCATGAAGAGATGAATTCCGAAGTATTTTAGAAAAAAATAATTTTATTACTGATTTTTTAAAACTAAAAATTGATGAATTTCTAACCAAAATGATTAAAATGTAACTAAATATTCAAGCAAATTTTATTTATTAGAATAGAATAAAACTATTTACAAAATTGTTATAACATTTAAAACACCATCTACTACTTTAGGGATAATCTTAATTTGGCACAATGAGTTAACATTATTTTCAAAAAAAATATTTTAAAAATACTTAAAATTAATACATAGGTATGTATGAATAGTTCACTTTAAAAAATATATGTTGACATGTAGTGTTATGAAAATGTTGGTTCCAGTTTTCAAAACAAATTCTGACTCATAGGCCTGTATACTTTTGAATGCCCTTATTTGCCCTCTAGCGCATTAACCATGGGTTATCACTAAATAAGCCATAATATCCACATTACTCATAGAAGAGATACCAGTTACTGTGTGATCCACTTGTCATTCACTGATTAACTTTTACTTTTTATACCTATAACAAATATATCCTTAAAAATGTAAACAGATCTTTATATTTTATACTAACCTGGCTACATCTGGATATTCCATTAACAATTTTCTTAAATATTTAATATCTATTTTTGGTGCGTTTGATTTGATCATCGGAGATCTCCGAGCGCTTCAAAAGTGTTTGAATTGACACTCCGAGAGATCCCTAAAGTGTTTGTTTCGCTTTGGAGCGAGAACATAGAGCGAGCTCGATGTTCTCAGAGCAGAAAGATCGAGAAGAGGAAGAAATTTGTCTTTGTCTCTACCTATCTCTTTTTAATAACTTACAAACAAATTTGAATCTCAAAATTAAAGACCAGACAAGAAGTCAACAAATTACTTAGCCGCGTTTGTTTTATAGCTAAAATTATTCATCATAAAAAAACACAAAATGTGTATTTGGAAAATACATTTTTTCTGTCCAGATCTAATCACCAGTAATCACAGTCATGGAGTATGAGAGCGAAGCGGGCATTTGTGGTAAATGCTGCATTTCAGGGCCATTACCCCTTATTATTAAAAGTTTTTCCATTTTCTTTACTTTTTGCTCACTATTTTAACATACAAAATAGAAACAAGAATCACAGAAAAGCGAGGTTATGTTTTTTACTCTGTTTTATTTGATTTGATTCAATGCTCTATTGTGACGTCATCACTTCTCGGTCTCCTCGACGCTCGCTCGATCGAGTTTCAAATCAAACGCCCCTTTTAAAAAGATCATAGTTATTCTCAAAAAGTCATATTGACTTTAATTTGACAGTGACATTTCGTTTTAGACACACATTTCAGATGCGACCGTTGTCTGGGACCAATTAAAAAATTACTTCTATGACATTTATTCGTTTCTTAACCGCTCATTGGCCGTTCACCGACTAAGGCCGATAAAGATAGTTATTTCATAAATTTTGAACACGACTAAGTATATCCGAGAATACCGATATTCTCGGACTATATTTCGAAACTCGCCCTTAGTAACAAATCTAGTTACTTTTCCCTGTGTAAATGCGTCTTTTCAATTCGCTCCTCCTAGTTTAAAAACAGAGTATAAAAACAGTAAAAACGTATGTCAAATTTATTGATGTTTTTGTTAAAAGTTTGGTTAGAATTAAATTTCAGTGGAACCAGAATGACATCACACTAAACTAACTTAGTAATTTCAAACTTAACTTTTAAAATTCATCTATATAACTGATAACATGAAATCTAAGGTCATAAAACTGCCCTGTGACGTTAGGATCATCGACTTATATAGCTGCCTTGAATCTTATCGAACCGTCCAGATGTTTCTTGACACAAAATGACATTTCTAGATATTTCTCAACTATTATCTTCTTCTTTTACTTATGACGACCGCAGGCTACTGGGTAACATTGCTTCCTCCTCTCTAGTTATTCGTCCCGAATAACTTGATTACTGGGACCTAGTTGGAGCTAATAGGGATAATCTAGACCACGGTATGGCGTTGATTTTCTTGAAGATGGTGTAGGGACCTTCCCAGTTCCATTGCAGGTTCTGAAAAAAATCCGCTAGGCGCTTGGGTTTGTACAGTCATACTGGGTCGCATCTCTCAAAATGTGTTCCTGTGGCATGCATGTCGATTCTAGCTTTTTCTTTATTGCTGTTGACTTTCAGACGTCTCGAGCGAATCCGTTCTGCCATAAATCACATTTTTCACACCAATCTTCTACATCCCGTCGGCAATTGACCCAATAAAATATTTCTCGAACTCGTGCCAGTGTCCTTTTTGTACCAAAATGTCCTCCCGAACATATCTGCTATGAAGTTCCTCTGACACACACAGTACCAATTGGCGGACTATATGTACTCCATCGGGGCTTTCTCACTTCCGGAGAAATAGGCCTTTGTGAATATACAGGGAATCCCAGTCCAGTACTCTTTAATAGCTCCACTATATTTGGTTATCTCTTGCTAAGTAGGTGTGACTTTATTTTTAAGCTATTCTCGGACAACCTTTAAGTCATTGTCTTTCTTTTCCCCTTTTCTCAGGATTTCAAGGGTGATTTCTCGTCGCCCTCTGGCTTGATAGTGGTTGTCCGAAGAGTAACTTCATCAACCGGTTCTTCTCGTTCTTTGAGCCTTTTACTTTACTATACCGGCATTATCGTTCTAAAGAGAGTCGCCTGCGTTGCTATGGAGACGGCCTCTTCGATGCTCTACTTCCTGGTTATTTCTAGAAAGCCTTCTAGGTGCGGGTGATCGGCTTCTCCGGGAAGCATATTTGCTGTAATTATTTCTTGTTGGACTTCGTGACATGCTTTTGAAGATCTATGTGACTTTATGGCCTCATTCCCTGATTCTCGATTTATAGAACGAGCCCTGCTTCTACAGATTATTTGAAGGTGCCCGATTCTTCCGCAATTCAAGCATCTCCTGCTTTCATTTTAGTTGTTTCGTTGCATATTTTGCAGGGTATTTAAGATTTGTGCGAGGGTATGTTGAGAAATACTGCCGTCCTATATAAAATATAAACCATTTGATATAAGCCTATTTTGAAATAAATGGGACACGATAAGAAAAAAATCTTTATTATTGGAATTCACATACAACAATACATAAGTATATTTGCTTTCAACGACCACGTTACAATGTAAGCATATGTGGGCGGTGATGGCACAATATTTTTCAGACCATTTCTAATACACACATATTTAAAAACAATCAATCATATCTTTATTAAATTCCCAATGAAATGCCTACATATATACGAAAAATACATCAAGTTTCCCACATTGAAAACAATAATTCTTTATTGGTCCTTTATGTACAGGACAAGTCAAAATATTTGAATACAAAAAAAATATACAAACAAAACAACATAATTGACAATTTATACTAGTACTATCTTCATAATATGGGAATTAATTACTCCATTTTTAGTGTACCGATCATTGAAATATTACTAGTTTAGTGTAGTGTAGAGGTAAACCACTGGGGACATTTTGACTAAAAATCAAAAAGGTCGTTTGTACATATTCCTCATCAACAAACATTTTTTTTCCGGGTCAGCATCGCTGGATTGTTGACAATCCTACAAAATTAGTACAAAATAGTACACATAATACATCAGATTGCTCACTATTGATTCTGCATCCAACTGCATAAATTATAATACAGATTCGTAGAATTTCATTTATTAGCCCATCATCGTATTACAGAAGACAAACCAGGAAGTGGAAAATATAATTGCTCTTTTACATACAGGTATGCCTTTTTGCTGTAATGTTTGCAGCTTCTTCAAATGTCCAGTCAACACGTTTCTTTTTCTTTTTTTTGAGTCCACTTAGTTTTTAGTAAAAACATTTTTCTTGGCCTTTAGTTTTTGTTTTGTTTCAATAGTCTTCCATATTGTCCTTTTCTTTTTTTATAATTTTAAAATCGTCTTTAATCTTATATTTTTGCTCCCGGTTTACACTTTTCAACGACACTTTTTTCGCTTTCAATTGTGCTGGAGTGCGTTTAGAAACCACGCACAGCACGTCTGGACCCTATTCTAATGTATGTGATAAGACGCGTCGTGCGAGGTTTCTAAACGCACTCCTGCTTTCATCAACCTCTAAATGTGTGAAAATTTTAGTATATTCTTTTAAACAATCATGCATCCACCCTATTTTTCTGTTCTCTTTTTAAGATTCGACTTTCCCGTTAGTTCTTTTTTAAAGTTTTATCTTCACTTTCATTATTCCCAAGAATTAAAGTGGGGACTGCAATTTTCTTTAATCGCCTCCTCACTGGCAAATCCAATTATTCAATTCATTATGAAGATCTCTTTCATATTCATTGCCGATAAAATGGACAGAACAGATCTGGCTTGTTGTGGGATTCTATTTGTCAGCTCTACGGTACCTCCGAATCCAATTTTATATTATTTCGTGTGAAACAAAATCTTTCCCCAATGGAAAATAATGATAAATTATATCTGGGTTATCTAATTTTGTTTTCACATGGCTGTTTTTACAATTACTGACCACCGTCTGTCTGGTACATTCAAACCCTAAAGAAATAACTCTATAATTAGTTAAAAGCAATAATTTTTGTCACTATAGAACTTACCTATAATAAAACTAAGTTGATTTATTAAAATACTCTTTATAAAAACACTTTAAAAAAGTCCAGTCAATTAAAAAGTTACAAATACAATCCAAAAATACTAAAAACCATGTACAAACGTATAAACAACACAAGAATTTATAAATATCTGGTCCGGCAATGACGAGTGGTATTTTTCCGAGTGAAAAAAGCAGCAGATCTTTATCTCTTTTACGATAAAATGTAATATTAGTACCTGGATAAAGGTTATTTTCTTTTGATCTGGATGCAAGTAATTTACAGACTCCTTTGAAAGGATTAGGTCTCTTATGAGATCGTTCAGTTCTTGTTGATTGAAACGCCGAGGAGTTGTTAAATCTGCTTCAAATTCTAATTCGCAGTCGTTTTCCGATTGAATTCTTTGATGTTTCTTTAATGTTTCTGTATCCTTCCGGCAGTTCAGGAAGACTACTGAAGGATAGAGTGGGTATTTTTTCAGAGTGCAGCACAGGTTTTCTTGCAAAATCTAGATCAGGTTATGTCCATTTGTGTCTATTATTCCTTTTCATGCCTGTAATATTAACGAGACGAAAATAGCAGTCATCATAATGGTTTCGTGGTTGCCTCCAAACCGTTGGTACACCAAACTTTCGGCAATGTATCTTTCCAATTGTCCACTATCGCAAATGTTCAACACATGTTTTACTCATGATATGTAGAGCCCAAGATTTATCCTCGTCTCACAAATTAACGCCAAAATAGGCAAGATAAACCTTTTTTACAAAGGCAGAAATAGTTTTTCTACTTTCTTTTAAAGTGTATTCGCCACGTAGATAACAAAATATATCTGGATCGTTTACACAGCTACGTCTGCTTTTGGATACCATTGTTTTAGTTTTAACACTATAAAAAGAAGAAAATTTACAAAAAATGATAGAAAAACTATACTTGCAAAAACTCAATAATATACACTCAATCAAAAAGGATAACGGTAGACAGAAGGTACTATGTTTCCGAGATTAATTAGTGGGGATTAAGCAGGTATAGGAAGATCGGGTCACAGGCAATTCCAAGTATAAAATAAGTAATAAGTGCTTACGAATAAGTACGCTAGACTACGCAAAGTGCTGGAATATGGCGGCGAGTGACCGAACCACGGAAAGTGTAAAAATTCAAGACGCTCATAGAATATAAGATTTCTCTTTCAGCATTCTCTTTCAGAATTCTCTTACAGAATACAACACGTGATTCAGACAAGGACTGAGCAACAGACGACAATCTACCTGGGGGAGGTTCTCCTAGTCACCAATGGAGACTGGGAGAGCTTTCACAGGTGGCGAACTCTCATAGAATGAGCACACACAAGATAAACAAACGGACGACGAAATAGGGAAATGCCCTGAGCACACCCTGTCTAAATGACGATAATATGTCATCCTTCACAGCCCTTTAAGAAGGACTGGCATACTAATCAAATGGATTGAACTTGAGGCCCCCTGAGCGAAGATGTCAGGGGGGTCAGGAGGGTTTCGATTCAGTAACACAGGATATGAACCTACCCGACTTGGGCTCGAGTAAGGTGTGTGACGAATAAGTAATGCTGGTTAACCAGGTATAGGAAGGTTGGTTCACGGACAATTCCTGGCATATATTTGGCTAATTAAATTCTAATTTTGAGTAAGAAATTTCTATTTTGAACTAAAGAGATATTTATTTATTTTTTACTTTTATTAGAACTAAATTCAATTAGCCTGCATCTCAAAAACTAGAGCTGATAGAAAAAAGCTGCTGGCAGTTTTACAATCAGCACATTAAATATATCTAAAATCAGTTCTTGGATTTCCGACACTAACAATTTTTTTTAATGTTGTTGGCCTGTGTTCAATAGGTCTTCTGAACCAATGGACAATTTAAAGGAACAATTTTCAATACATACAGGGTATTCAAAAAATCGTTCTGTATAGTTTCTTGTAAGAGGTGAGTGGTTAGGATCGAGTACGAAGGTAAAAAGAAAAGTTTTTTACGTCTCACAGAGTCAGTTTGTTGGCGACCGGTATCGAAGTAATTACTTCATCATCAGACATACTCATATTCATGTAAAAATAGTAAAATTAACTGTTTGCAGGCGTGGGTCAGGAAAGATTTTCCGGGAGGGGGGTAAATAATTTTATTAGTCACCGTCATTTTTTGCGTTCTCATAAAATCTCGGGATTACAGTATTTCTTCGAACAGCTCGGGGATGTAATTACCCTATTATCCCCCCTTGTATCAGCGCCTAAACTGTTGTAAGATCCTAAACCACCGGAACCAAAAATACACTGAACATTTGGGTAAAAACTATTGTAGACAAGATATTATATCATCATGCTGAGAGACAAGCAGCCACAAAAAAGGTTGAGTTCTTACGTAATCGACTTAAAAATGACCTAGAGACTAGAAAAACTAAATAAGCTAGATAAGAAAATTAAAACAGTTTCTCTAACTTGAGTACTGAGATCTAGCAGAGTGACTTGAACCGTTCTACGCTATCAGTAGTAGTACAATATTAGGAAACATTTGCAATAAAGATTTTTTTAATATCTTTTAAATAATGCATTTAATTCTGCGAACACATAATATTCGATCTGAAAAATATTAAATCTATGAATCGCCCTGTGAAAAGCATCAGACGATGTGCCGAATCGGCTCCAAAAAACAGCCACATCGTGCACCACTATGTGCAGTTTATGTATTAATCATAGATCTGGTGAATATTAGAGATCAGTGGTTTCAATATCTAAGTAAAGAAAGAAGTGTCGGCTGTCGCCGCTGCGTCTTTCTGCACCATGTTTTATAGGATGCTCTATCAGGGAAGACGACATAAAGTCGGACAGAATCTCTAATATGACCACTATCGTCATTCCCAAATTCATCAGAATTTCTTGATATGTCAACGGGCAAGGAACAAGAGGGAACCTAGGAAGACAAAACACAATTGAAACTAACGGCAACGCCAAGAGCCTAATTTAGGCTGCGTGTAGAGAGGCACAGAAGCGAACATAGTCTTCTTGCAAATAACTATTTTGAACGCGGAGCCTAAAATACACGTGTTGCGCATGCAATAGTCGACCGGGAAACGCCGATTCCTGGTCGAACCGAAAGTAATCTTTTTATATAGCGAGAAAATCACCTTAGAGATTAAAGAAGAACCAACAGTTGAAGTGATTTCTTGGCTAAGACACTTCTAAGTGGACTATAACCAGGAAATATCAAGAGTCTGTATTTGTCCGATCAAGAACAAGGTACTCATAGCAAGCAACTATGCCGACTGTACCTACATTGTATGGAAATTAAAGGACACAAAATAAAGACTTTGATGAATAAATTTTATTAAATCAATATAATTTATAATATATTTTATTTCAAATAATTTCCATTGTCTGTTAAGTCGTTTTTCAGGAATTAAAAGTATCACTGTATTGCCCAGTCTGAGAATTCTTCGTCAACACCAGTTTCATATATCTAAAAAAAATAGACAATTTAATGATACAGGCCCTTTTATGAATTTTCGTACTTATATGAAACGAGCATTTAACAATGGGGCATGTTCAAAAATTTTGAAATTTTTTTTATGAATAGTAGAGTTAAAAATAAAACTACATTTTTTTATTTTTTTTTTATCTATTCATTTGCCGGAGTTATGAATTTTTTTAAAATTTATGACGTCACCGGTAATAGACCAATAGAAGCTAGCGCACAACGTTGCCGGCTAGAAGGTTTACGAGAAGTGATGTACGTTCGTTTGTGTACTCCTTCTTACTTTTAGACTTCTAAAACATCGTTAAACAAATATCTTTTAAATATATAATATCAAATGTTTTTCGAAAGTATTATTTCTGTTTAAACTTTTACCATATTTAAAGTTTCATTGTTTTAAAAGTCACTTAATAATTCAGAAAATGGCAGCACTGTGTATGGCATCTGTCATCATAGTGTCTTGATCAAGAATTTATTTGGAATTTGAGTGTTTAATTTTGTACTTTTTATAAATATTATGACTACGAAAAAGTGTTTTGTTCCAGAATGTGATAATGATTCACATTCATCTTCAAAAATATTTATTAGTGTTCCTAGAAATTTGGAAAGAAGAAAATCAACCTTCTACTAGCGATGTTTCTCGTAAACTTTTTAATAAAAATACACCGGATTATCAAGATGTAGCAGCAATTTCTGCTAATTGTCCCCTTCAGGAAATTGAAAATGAGGCTACTATAAATTCTTAGGTGTATAACCTAAAAACCCTTCTGGAAGAAAATGCAGAATCTCCTGAAGATACCGAATTTATTCATCATTTTGTGGAAGAACTAGTGATAAAGAAATAATAGAAAAATGTGTTTATTTAAACAAACTGGTTCCTGGATCCCATATAATGGCAGATAGGGGTTTCAGAATATTTAGCTACTTGAAAACATGGGATGCACTTTAGTAAAGCCACACCTAGTCTATCACAGAATGAAAAAAGTTCTCCAGAAGATGTACAATTAAGTAAAAGAATAGCATCTCTAAGAATACATGTGTGGAAAGAGTTATAAGAAGGGTTAGTTAATTTAACAAGTTAAAACCACATTCGTGTGTGAATTTTAAGCAAGTACATTTACTTAGTAATATCTGCATAATTGCTTGTTAACTTACAAGAACCTATTTTGTAAGAGTAAATATTAATTTAATAAATTTTTTTTGTTTGTTTTTTTAATTTAATTTACCTAATTATCACAATTCAGGGATTATAATGAGTTTTTAAACAGCCAATGTAATTTTTTATAAAATTTTAACTTTTCGAACAAATCAAAGAGGAATGAGTACCTGTATATGCATAGATTTTTTTGGGACTAAAACTACCAAAACAAAGGCACCTATTTACAGCAGTTTAAAATGAAACATTTTGACAAAAACGCCTATGTCACAGTGATAAATATTAAAAACAACCAAGTTCAGTTGAATGTGGTAGCAAAGTCTATATATTCCAATAAATCGGGTAACTACATGTGGTATCACTGGTGATAAATTTAAAAATATCACAATTCTTGCTACCTTTTTCAAAAAACCAGAAAGTGTGCCTTCTTATCAATCCTTTATGAAAATGACAACAGTGATAAATGTGAAAAAAAAATTTAATGTTGCTATTCGTTATTACGATAGTAAAACATGTTTGCAGTTCCGTTTATTTTTTATGAAAATCTAAGTAAAAACAACCAATGTCAAAGGGTTCTAATTTTTTTTCTGTTGAAACAAATATATCACAAAATTTAAAAATTGACCATAGGTCAAGCTAAAGTAATACCTTTATTGATAGTAGCTTTAAAAAAGGAGAAAGAATAATATTGACTTAAATTATTATTATTAACATTGGTGATTTTTAATAAAAACTCTTCAATTATTGTTTACAAACAAAAATATAAAAATCTGAAAATTGTATTTATTAATCTTTTAATAAAAAATGAGAAAAATGAAGTAAAAAACAATTTATTTACAAATAAAAAATATATATACAAATCCTAAGAACATAAAAGTACTGATTTATTTTCCTGTAGTGGATGAAGAGGTTTCTTTAACAATCTAGCCAAGTGTACATCAATATTTACGCATTTTGATAAATTAGAGCCTTTCCAATAACACTGAATAGATGTTACAGATGGTTCCTCACTTCTTCTATGAAGCCACATATTTACAACCAACTGAAAAAAATAAAAGGGTTAGATATGCAGTTACAAAATAACTATATAACCAGCTACAAAATGCCTTTATTTTATGTAACAAGACGAGCAGAGCTTTACTAGCTCTGAACGAATCCAGTAAAGAACCTCGGATTTTCAAAATTTAAAAAAAACAATCTCACCACATTTTCACATTTTTGAAATATTATAGAGCTTTTCGAAAAAAATTGCTATTTTTAAAAATACAATTTTTTGTTTAAACAGCTATGTCTCATTTTAGGCTATTGAGTATTATAAAATAAAAAATTACGGGATGCTTTGTTAGCTTCAAACGAATCCAGCAGAGCACCCCAGTTTTTTTTTAAACCACACCACGTTTTTTGGCTCCTACAATATTATAAAAATTTTTTAGTAAAGTTTTACAATATTTCAAGAGTCTAAAAATATTCTAAAAATGGGGTGTGGTTTTTAGAAAAAAGCTTTAAAAAACCGAATTGCTCTGCTGGCTTCTTTCGAAGGTTAGCAAGCACCATGTATTTTTAAAAATATAATATTTCAAGTGCATAAATATATGGTGTTGCTGTTTTTTACAGAAAAAACTTTATAAAACAGAGGTGCTTTGCTGACTTTGTTCGAAACTATAGAGCATTTTAAGTTTTGCAAAAAACGAGGAGCATAAAATTTTTGAAAAGGGTATAAAAATAGCCTAAAAATATGGCATATTTTTTAACTCAAAATTTCATAGGTGCTCTGCAGCATTCTTTGGTATCATAATTATTACTAGGTTCACTAACAAAATCTGTTTCTAGATTATTTTAACACTTGCTGCGATTACAAAAAATGTCTATATGTCAAAATTAGAAAAAAAATATTTATAGGAATAAAGGGCCTTATAGACTGTTTATTATATGTAATATAAAAACAAAAAAGCATAATAAATATTACAAACCTTGACATGCAGCATATCCTAAGCATATTGTGCACTAAAAATTTCATTTTTGTTAATTACAACGCAACCACATCAGAAGGTTTTTGCCGTACTTTATGTTTAGGTGTAATTTGTCTCCTTCTCTCTTATGGAAAAAAAATTATCCCCATATTCTTGCTTGGCAGATCTAAAAATAAAACCTGAGATAAATATGTTTTACTTGCTCCATATAAACTGTAACTACCTACTATTAAAACAAAGTCTTACCTTTCTGACTTTTGTAAACTGAGTATTGTTAAAAAATGCAGTAATCATCTCGGTAATCATATTTTCGTTTACAATGGGTAAAACACTTGATTAAACTTTTATAAATCCAGCTGATTCATATTAATAATAAAATTAAACCAAAACAAAAAACTAAGGTTAGATGTTACTGATGTTAGGTGGTGTCAATTTTAATGTCACTTAGATGTGCGTTCGCTTCGACATTCTGTGTGTTGGTTTGTTCGTTGGCTTGGTTTTGTATAACAAAAAAAACTTCGACACAAGATGATTGGTCTATTCCCGATGACGTATAATTTCAAATTTTAAATTTCAATTGGGCTTAATTTAAAAACTTTTGGCTTTTTTAACGAACTGACTATTTAGAATAACTTGTATAGCGACTAACTATTACAATATAATTTATAAAACAGTATATCTCACATGTGAACATGGCCCATTGGAAACAAAATATCTTATTACAATTGACCAGATGGTGAGTTGGTATGAAATTATGTTTTTTTATATAAAAATTATTGCAACTGATATTTTTTTTTAATTTTCTATGAATCTTTATTTGCAACATAATGAAAGATTCATTAAAAAAAATTAGTGGTGTAACAAAATTTTTATAGAAAATATTAAACAAAATTCGTTACGGACGCCACTGCTAAATTCTTAGGAAATATTTAAGTCAACAATTTAAAAATAATTTCAGTTATACAGGGTTCTCCAAGAAAGTTATACACTACACATTCTTGAAGTCCATACATATGCGTGTCAGGATGGACGAGGCGGGAGAAGGAAAACCAGCGCAGTAGGCAGGCAGTACACGAATAGACAGTGACAATACCACACCAACATTGTATTTGAAAATACTTGAACGTGAATTAAATTATTTAAAAAGTAGTTTAGACGGTTTTATTAGGGATGAAACATTTCTTCTGTTAACATACATACCAAAAAGTTAAGATTTTTAAAATGGGACACCGTGTATTTTATTTTATATTTGAATTGTCCTCGTTTTTCCCATTATAACAATATCAAATAGTATGAGATTATACAGGGTAATTCACGCGCTATTACCAGTTTTATATGAAAATTATATTGATTTCAATGATCTGTATATCGCAAAAGAAACAGTTAAAAACAATCTTTTTGCTGTGAAAGTTTTTCGATGTTAGTCAATATTTATGCTAACGCGCTACTTCTATTAATTCGACCACCCTGTATTTAATATCACCATTTAAAAGTATCTTAAAGTTTCATTTTAGTCAAGCATTGGTTATACCTAAAGTTAATAATTTACAAGCTAATTTTAACTGGGTACTGGTTAATAGGAAATAGACTGTCTTAATTATTGGTAATTGGAATTTAACCAGCAATAATTTATTATTGACTGAAGTAAGTTTTTTACAATACATAATGCGACTTTTATATTCATTAAAAAAAGAAATAAAAATAGCAACCGAAAACTTCACATAATACCTACTGTATTTTAAGTGTTATTTTAACAGATTTTATTTAATTACAAAAATTTCTTTTAGTAGCATCCAATATTATTTATGGAGGTCTAAAGGTGGTTTTCAAAGGTCCAACTCACATTTCTAAGCATTTCTTAAGTAACACCCGAAATACTTCTTATTCACGACTAAAGGTCAGATTAAGAAACTGGCTAGACTTTTTTTTTTTAAATATCGCAACAATAATGAAGTGAGTAATAACGAACTGTCAGTATTAGGATTTCAAAGTCATTTTAAAAAGATAATAAACTTAGAATAAAGTAGGTATTATAATAGAGTAAAAGTCTATGATTGGTTGCTATTGGTATTTATTTTTAACTGAATGTTAGAATCCTATCAAAAACTTATTTAGTCAATCATAAATTACAGCTGGTTAAATTCTGATTACAAATTAACAAACAGTCTATTTCCTGTTAACTAGTGGCCAGTTAAAATTAAAGTATTTTGTGAATTATCAATGTCATTTAAATTTAAAATCTCCCAAAATTATTAATTCTAGGTATAGGGAATACTTTACTCAAATTAATCTATAATTTAGAAACTTTTATAAAATACAGGATGGTCAATTTAAAAATAAAAAATAATGAATTTATTACGTTATTAGTTTAAAATAACAACAAATGGCGCCCAACGTATGGCTCTAAAGTAAAACGCGTAGGGCTCTTTTAAATAAAAGTGATATTATATAGAAAAGGGAATAAAAAAGTTAAGAATTTATAACTAAAATATTAAATTGCAATACTAAATAGACTAAAAAATATATAATAAACAGACAAAAACAAATATTAATATTCAATATTTATAAATACATTAATTAATATTCTTATTGTTAATATTGTACTATATATACATATAAAAACAACTTACATCAGATTCACTTAAATCATCGAATTTTGGCACTTTGGCTACCTCTTCCAAATGTTTGGAATTATTAAACACTTCAAAGAGAAATTTCTTGCCAAAATCTCTGTACTGTCTCACTACAAAATCTGAGCAAGCAACGCAATTTGTGAATTTTTCAGTGGCGGGCGAAAATTGTTCATATGAAGAAATAAATCCTCTTATCGAATGCGGGACTAGACCCAGTATGGACGGGTTCAATTTGTCTATTTCGAGATCATTTACGTTTTGTTTTGATACGTAAAATGCTGGAGCTGCAATCCTAAACGAAAAATATTTAGTTTAAAAAGCAGTAAAATAAATATAAAATATTGAGAATTTTTTTATTAATCTTACTGTTCTTCGTGCATAAGTAAAGAAAGCGACAATTCAGCAGCCAAAGCTCCAGCTATTTGGGACACACCAGGTCTAGTAACAGTACACTGTTGGTCCAAAGGCCTATCTTTCATAGACTAAAACAGATATTCGGTATATTATATAAGTACTTTAAAATAATAAAAAAAATCCTTACATTACCGGGTGCAACAATATCCGTACAAAAATAGCAACCCAATTTTCTTCCATCTACCGATTTGAATCCAGCAGGACAAGTCATTGCTTTTGGTTCCTGAATTTTCGGTTCATATACTCCGTGCCTCATTACCAAATATGAATCAAAACCTAATGCTGCATTTATTACCATCTAAAACAAGTGTATGCAAAAAATTAAAATGAAGCAAGTTTGTGGTAATAAAACACTACCGTACGTTTTCACTATTCTTCTTTATGGAGTGAAAGGTAGGAATGAAATAAGAAAGTAAATTGAACGATTACCTTTTGTTTGGAAGCTGCTATTAGTGTGGGCAACCATCTACCTTCTCTAGAGTCTAACAACAGAAAAATAATATCATTGTTTTGTATGAGTTCAGTAAGTTTGTCAATTTCTTCCATGGTTTGCATAAGTAAACTCTCGCCTACTGGATGTCCAGGCATTGGTATGGTGAACTGATAACCATTAGAATTCTAAAACAAAGTACGGAGCAAGAAATTAGATATGTACTAATTTCATTTTAAATGCTGCATGAGTAATGGTAGTAAACTATCACATTGAAAGTTTATAAACTAATGCCAAATAAAATAAATAAAACGCAAAGCCATATATCCAATAAAATACGAGCTACCGTTTCCCTTCGAAAAACAACTACTCCTTTACATTACAAATTATAATTTTAAAAGGTTTAGATGACGATTATATTAAATATTTTATATTAAAAAACTTCGAACGGATACGAATGTCGGCGAGCGCACCCGAAAGCTATAAAGTCGCCACTACCTGCTGCCCTTTGCCCTTAAACATTCACAACTAAGGACAGGCACAATCTTTAATAAAGTCAATTTTAGAACATAAACGATCTGCGCATGCTTAGATGTCAAAATAAGAGCGGCACTAATACTAACTCTCTATTAACAATCAAAATGTGCATAATTAACACTCTTGAAGCCTGTCACGTACACAAGCAATGCATTTATTTCAAGATAGCTTGAAAACGGTTCTTACTATATTTTTTAAAAACTAATTAATGAAAATCAAGAAGTTATAAAATTTTCTAAAAAAACGTTGAATTTTTTGACCGTCTTGGTAAAAAGATATATAGATATTTAGAATAAAAATATTTTTAAAGCAGTCGCCGCGTAGTTGCGTAAAATGATTACAACTTGGCAACATTGTAATCGCTACACTTAACGCGCCGTAAGTGAATAACACTCGATCAGCTAAGAGGTTGTTATAACTTCCCGACGTGTTCTTGAAAAATCAATTCGTCCACTGTATTTAAGAACTGGAATTATCGGTTCTGTTTGAACCAAAACAAACCGTTAAAATTAGTAGCCCACCATTCATATATTTACGACGTTGCCGGATGGATTTTATTTGAAATTATAACGTATCTGTATAATATATCGCACCCCTGTTTCAATAGTGCCATAACCTTATAAATGTTAATTTTACAGGAGAAGCGAAACAAAAACGATTATGGATGTAATATTTTTTTGAGCAGCATTTTCAGTACTTGTGCTTACCAAATTCGGTATACATTAGACTGGGCCAAAAAAATTGACTATTTTTTTTTTTTTTAAATATATCGAGAATGTCATTCAGGATGACAAAAAAAAATTCGTGAAAATTTGAGCCCTTAATATTAATTTTAAGAGGTTTATCATCGCTATTTTTGATTTTTAGTCATAATTTGATGTTTTACGTTAGAACAGTCAAAACATTAAAGTGAAAAAATTCCTTTTCACTTATTTTTATATAAAATGAAACTCTCTACAAAAAATTTCAATATTTTTCTTCGATTTTAATCGTGAATAACTTTTGAAGAATTAAATTTAGGCAAACATTTTAAGAGACCTTTTTTGTAGAACATTAAATTTCCTTTAAGAATCCGACGTGAGCTTTTTTAAATATTCATTGATTCATTAGTTACAAAATTTCAAAGTAAAAAGGACAAATCGAAAAAACACATCGATCTATTAAGCTCAATTACTCAGAAACTGCTCGTCTGACGAAAATTTTCAATCAGACCTTTTTTGTAGAGAATTTAATTTTATATAAAAATAAGTGAAAAGGAATTTTTTTCGCTTTAATGTTTTGACAGTTCTAACGTAAAACATCAAATTTTTTTTTTGTCATCCCGAATGACATTCTCCATATATTTTTCAAAAAAAAAAAAAAAAAAAAAAAATTTTCAATTTTTTTGGCCCAGTCTAGTATACATATTAATTAAAGATGTCTCTACTGATTAATGATACATGTAATGTAATGTGAAATCTACACAGATAAGCCTAAAACAAAAAAATGTTATGTGATATGGCAGAACTGTTGATGGCGCCTCGCGCGGAATTTATTAGAACTATTGATATGGCACTTATATATTGTAGGCATGTTCATAATGTATACGTTGGGCAAAAAAAGTCAATTTAAATTTTTTTAGGTATATGGCACTATTGAAAAAGGGGTGCCTATAAGCTTACATGTGTTGTGTACAGTCTCTTACAAAATAATTTTTTTTTGCATTGAGAATCTCGAACTTTTGGTATTCACCATTAGGCGATATTTTTATGTATGACTGTCGCGAGTGAACTACTTTAAATGGAAAAATTAAGATTTTCTTAGAAGACTAAAGACCTAATAGGATTACAAATTCTGATGCATTGTTATAGCTTGTATTAAGTAAAATGTATAGGTTTAGATGTTAGAATAGCCTTAGGCTAAATCTCGCTATTTATTATTAATATTATTTGAGCATATATGAAGCACACACCAGATGTAGGTCCCATTGTTATATACATCCGTATTATATGTCCCTTAAGGATGACCATGATACAGAGGGGCATGGAATACTTCTGAACTAGAGAAAGAAAGTCTACCTGGCAATACAGTTGAAATAATAATAAAATTAAAATTATCTTACCACTCCTGGACAGATTAATTTAAGACTATCTGCTGCAGCTTGGGCCTTTGGCTTGGATTTAAGGGCATCTTGGAAAGTAAACAAACTCTGTCTTACTGGATTTGAAGAAGACACTACAGCATTATCTACGAATGTTATGTTCCTTATACCCCAACCCTTAAAAACAAAAATTACAATTGATAAAATTGTTCTAGGAATTACCTTGGAAAATATAAAAGTATAAAGTTTCTTATAAACGCTATGGAACGAAAAGTGTCTAAACATACCAATAAAGTCCTTGCAACTGAACAACCGAGTGTGCCTGCACCCAGTAAAAGACACTTTGTTGCTTTGATCTTCTGAAGATCAATATTAGGTAATAGATTCCATTTCATCAGTTTTAAATTTAAGTCATTTGAAATTTCTGCCATACTAAAACAAAAACTAACTGTAATCAATATTATGAGCAATATGATTTAATAATACATGATTATTAATAAATAATATTTAATCAAATTCTTGTTTGGTTAATTTGGAGTGTGAGTGAAATTTGCATAATTATATTTTTTATCCCTTACAACAGAACGCAGCATTCTTATTATCATCATAATACCATAAAGTTTCAAGTCACCCTAGTTCATGGCACTTATCGAATTTTTTGTGTCAATGAATAAGAACAAGTCATTATCATATTTTTGTGTCAAGGGGTAAGAGTAAGAATAAGTCATCACAGAGAAGATAAATATTGGATCGTATTGCTCAGGTATTTAAAATTCAATTTGCAGTACCAAATGTAATCCTATATATAACATAATATATAACTTACACTGCAGGGTCTAAAGTGTTCTTCATATTTGCTAGACGTGGTCCCATATTATCTCTTTCATTTTTCTCCCAGCCTACCCAAGTTGTTGACATATCAATACTACTGACCTCTGGTAGTTTTAATGTGTATATAGTGCTTTTTTTCAAACTAATATTCGTTTTATCTCTGCTCAAATTTAGAGCTAAGAATTTAGCTTTTGTACCTTCTAAAATTGGACTAAAATTTTGTATTAAAAATTATAAATTCTTCCATGGGACATTAGATATTTTTTTTTTGGAAAAGTTTAATACCAAAAATGTATCTCTGTCTCATGGAAGGAGGTGTCATTTTTCATTAGCTTACCGATGATGCAATATAAAAGCCACAAATGTTCTTAACTGAGAACCTACATTACTGCTAGGAGAAAGGTTTAGAAAAGTAAAATATGGTTCACGGTCTTTTAAAACAGATTCATCGCTGAAAGTTTCATATAAAGAGCTTAAATATACCAAATTGTTTATTTTTAAAGTTACGAAATAACTAGTCTGAATGCTGTTTAGTTTTTTGAACTCATTGTAAAAGTCAATCATCTGAAAAATAAATAATTTTTAAATAATGATTTAATAAACATATTTATAATTATAATATAAAGATTTTTATGAGACCCACATAATATGGAACATGCAAGCATCTGATTAAATAAATGAAATTACCCTGTATTAAATATAAAATAACTTTATTTACCATTTCATCAGAAAATTCCTCACTAATGTTGCAAGAACTGACTTTTTCAATAGTCACACTTTGAGGTACAGGAAATGCAAACCAATAATAGTAATGATATTTTTTAATATCCTAAAAGAAGTATATAAATTAGAAAATCCATAGCATCTAAATTTCATTATGAAGTAATAAACTTACTGCAAAAGTTAGTAAAATAAACCAATTAAGCAAAGAAGGATTTTTTAAAACATCTCCATTTTTAAATCTTTCTACAAATTTCATTCCCTCATTATTGATGAGTAGTTGTTTATCACAACTTTTGAATTTTTCGATGGTATTTGTGTTTATGAATTTTCCATAAAATGGTATATATGTTTCTTGGTCAGAAAATTCCCTAAAATAATACAATTAAATATTAGAACAGATAGAACTGAAATAAAATTAATTTTTTAACCTTTAGAGAAGCTACAAAGTCGTTCCTGCAAAAAATGGAGTGGGAGTAACTGAGCCAGCTGTCATTTCAATTTCAATGGGCTTGCCAGATAGATAGCCAGTTTAACAAGTTTAGTTATGAGTATTGACTTAAAGTGTTATTATTTACTATTTTACTATTTGCCGATTCGTTTTGAGTTAAAAACATATTTTATTTTTAGTCTATTTCAGAATGATTTAAAGAGAATATGTCTTTAATATCTTTAATATATTTCATTTCATATATTTAATGTTAGATTTATTGTACCTACCTTTTATAATGTATTTAAGCTATTTAATGTAATTTATATATATTTAAAAAACTGACAATCCACCTTTCCCTTTACTTAACAATTTCACATTACTCATGTGCAAAAAAAGCGCGGGATTTTTGAATCTAGTAATTATACATACAACTTATTTTTTATATTGTTATCTCTCTCTTATCCCTCGCCTTACAACTGTTGGGTTGACTACACCGATTACCCCATGTCATCCTTACTTTAAACAACTGTCACCTAGTTTATATTTCTATCTTTGAATATAAAACCCCAGGAAGGAGCAAGGTGCATATTTGTAATATGCCATCTTGTAGGGCCAGGTTAACAGTCATTACTGTCAGGTCGTTCATGACATTAGGTTGTTTTGGTGTGTTTGGCAGCCATATGCGTCCCCAAAATATTTTTAATTTGTTTATTCCATTTCAGTTTTTTTTTTATTTTATTGTTTTATTCTTATATTCTTTTTTTTATGTTTTATTGACAAAAGAATATGCGCCTGATGTGATTATCACGTCAAAGAAAAAAATGTATATTTTTAATATAATTTTTTTTTTGGTGTGTCATCGGCTTCAACTACCAGGGTTATTTGGCCTCGTGTTCTGTGTAGGCTTTGTTACTGTTTCCCAGCGCCACTTTAGGAACAGCACTGTTAATTAGAACCCAACAGTGAATGGTCGAGTGAGGAATCCTACCAAGGCATCAGAATTAATTTTAAATAATTAAATTAAATAAAAAAAATCCGGCCAACTGTGGGATTCGAATCCGGGACCCTTGGATCCACAGGCAGAGACTCTACCACTGAGCCACCCACCCCTCAATATTAATTTATTAAAGATATTTTAAATCAAGATTTTCTTTGATTTTAGCTTTCCTAAAAGTGGTCCGAATGGAGAGAAATGGATTGCAGGGCCGCCGAGAGACAGGTCAGGCCCCGGGAAATTTTTCTAGGTCGGGCCCCGCGACAAGTTTATAAAAAATTAGGCCCCTACAATATCACGAAATACCCTTTCCATTTAGGTTCAATTCCAAACTACATTTTAATATCTAGAAAATAATTAAAAAAATTAAATTTCTACTAAGAATTTCAAAATATATTTGCTCAATTTTTTAATATTTTATTAGTAAAATAGTTTTTATTTTTATTCTTTTAATTTGGAAAAAAATAAGTACAAATTAGTAATTTTGGGGCATTTTGGACACATCAAAACCTGCAACTAGTCCCAGTCATTAAGTTATGGTTATGAATAATATTATTAATAATAACATAAACGTTTATCCTATTAAGATGTGTTTTTCTTTAATTTTGAATAATTATCGCACGCCTCTGTCAAAGCGGAAATGATCGTCCGCCATATTGAAGGGCCAACTCGTCAACTATTACTTTTAAATTAGCTCCTTCTTGGGGTTTTATATTCAAAGATTTCTATATAGTAGGAGAGCCAGTGACACTTTTTTGGTACACATTTGCACAAAACATTATCTAAACAGGCTTTTTTAAGACGACTCCATCGCTGCAGGGACTAGCAAAGTATTTCATGTTCTACAAGGTAAGAATGAATGAAATATTTGTAATTTTGCCTTGCGCAAATAATATACCTAAAAGTATCACTGGCTCCCCTATCAATAATAAAAGTTAAAAATGATATTTACGGATGTGTAATTGGAACTTAGAGTAGGAAACAACAACAAATTTTGAATTTTAACAAGAAGTGGGATTTGCACATGAGTAATAGATAGGTATTATTAATAACGAGAAAGGTATGTTTTTTATTTTTATTATTTTTGGAAAAATCAAATTAAAAGTTTTAACATGACAAAAACTAGAAACTACTGTAATAAAAACCAATATTTTATTATTGTAAATTTTATGTACTATAAGTTAGGTAAAATAATATTTTCAATTTCAATATATGTTTTATTAGTGTATAGCATTTATTATGTTCCATTATTTTTTTCTGTGTAACATACCTGCTATCTGTTTCATAAGTCAAATTTAAGGTCACAAAATTTAACACTGTCGACAGTTATTGTCACTTCACTGTGGTTGTTATTCTTGACCTTAACAGCAATTATTAATGGAAAGAATAATATGTTTTGTATCTCTTTTAAGCCTTTTAGCAAATTTAAAAAATTATTTAATATTTTTATTACTAGTAGTTAGTAGTGTTTTGGTTATCTATGTTTTTATGTAAATTATGTTTCTGTATGATGACCATACCTCTTCTGACCCAACACCAAAATTATTTTTGTTGATCCAATTCTGGATGAGCGAGAGGTGAGGGCCTTTTTGTCAAATATCAGGCAATTAAGGGCCATTTGCAAGGAAATAAAAAGGCAAATGCAGCATTTCACTGTACAAGATCAAATGATGGACAGACTTCGAAAAAGCTGTACAATACAGCAAAATGCTGTACGCATGGTCATCCTAAGTTTTTACATTTTACAATGTACCTAATGAGGTTCATTTATTTTAATAAATGTGTTTTGAAAAAGAAAGCATAGTATCATTTCCTTATTCAAAACCATTGTACCTATTATTAAGATTAGTACATGTTCTTAAAAATTATTTTTAAAATATTAATATAAAACTTAAACTAGTATTACATATTTAAACAATCATAGGTAGGTCCTAGCAAAATAGTTTCAAGTAACTTTTTCATCATACTTAGTCATAACTTGTTAAATTGTGAATATTTGTATAAAATAAATTTGATAACATCTTGTTTAATATTGATTAAACGAAAAATGTTTAGTACATTCTTAGTTTTGGGTAGACATTTAATTTCATTCACCATTCAACATTCAATGGATAATAAAATAAATGATGATGGTATTTACAGTACTGGTCTGAGATCGAATCTTACTTGGAAGACAGAACTCAATGAGATACACATCCAATTGGTATTTTTTTTTTTTTTCATAAACTAGATCATCTTTCGCAGCACTTAATTATTACTGTTCACTTACTTGTTAAATGATGTGCTATCCACTTCTAATAGACTCGTTGGAAGATTAGCATTTTCTATTAGTCTTGAATACCCCCATATAACAACATCAATTTCATTTGATTTGTAAACATCAATTTTTAATTCAGATAATTTGCTCCAAAAACTAGGATTTACTGATGAATTTAGGGGAACATAGGACAACGGTATTGACATATTCGTTTTTCCGTATCAACGTTGTTTTAAAACATATAATGAAAAATTAGGAAAACTGCAAAACAGGAATTTGTTGTCATAAAGGTTATGTGAATATAAATAAATAAAGTGACAGTTCAAACATCAAATTTTCTAATAGCCTTGACCACGACCTTGACCTAGATAAAATATGAGTTCGACAATTCTAGGGGGTTTGGATTGGAGTGAAGTGTATGTTGGGCACAAATCATTCATAGGAGCTAAAATACTAAAATCTCATTGATATTTTTGACACCCACACTAAAGTATTTACAGAGATCCGTAAACTGACATCAATGAAATAAAGAAATTAACTTTCACTATGGAATTAACCCTACTCCTGTCTTGCTTTAGCTCCACAATAATGATACTATTACTCGAGTATCATGACAAACGAACCATCCTTGTTTATCTAGTGTCAACTGTCAAGTTTTCTATTTATTTTTATTTGTGACATTCGTGTAGGGGGAATAGTGAATAGCGAATAATTTTTGTGTATTTATTTGTTGATCTCATCATGTTTATAATAATTATCTATGCATCTTAATACTTAATATCCCTCTCTTATTATGATATAAAATATTTACGGAAATCTTTCCAATTACCAATAAACTCTAAATATAACCATATGGAATTCAACTGTAAATTTTAACGGTGCTTTAAAAATGTTTTCAGCTATTAAAAGATTTACAAGTAAGGGCGATGCACCTTTTAATAATGGCCCTACATCCTCTCGCCCCAGTAGCCATCAGGCTATGTCTTCCTCTTTGCAAAAAAAGTTCGCAAGGGGTGTCCAATATAACAGTAAGTAAATCATATAATATAAGATAATATAAGATAATATTAAAATTTGGCTTAATTTTACTTGGTCAATATTTCAGTAAATGAATTTAATGTAATTGATGAAAATCGTTATGAATGATCAAGTTAAAGAAATAACTATAAAATGAACTTTACTGGATGTCATTCAACTTGGTATAATTTACCATTAGCTCACTGCTGTTAGATAACTCAGTGGAACACATTAATTCTATTTCTAAATTCTGTATACTATCAAATATTTTCTTTTCTCTTAAATAGTTTCATACATTTGACAATAAATCTGCTTAAAGAATTCAGGACAACTGCTGCAGTTGTGGTCCATAGGAAGGGAGCACTCTTATACCAACATTATAATAAAAATAATATTTTTACATAAGCTGCCTGGCCACTTATGTTTATGGTATCCTTTAAAGATAAGAATTTTTTTAAAATGAATTATTTAAATATTTCAAAACTGGACTTTTTATCCACATTTTTTATTTTACATTTCTGAATCTGTAGATATAGTTCAAGAAATTTGTATATTGTAGATAACCAGCTTATGGGAATTCAGATTTAATATAGGGGCACTCGAGAGATTGAGTATACTTATTGTATATTTTTTCTATTATCTTTATTTATTCTTGCACATTTTTTGTTGTTCTCAACTCATTTGAGGTTCATGCAATAATAAAGGATTAACAATAGGTAGGTGGGAATTGATAAAAAATAGATTAAAAAGGGGAATGAATGCGAAAAAGTATAAATGACCTAAATTTTGCAAGTAAAACTTTGTAAAAATGTTTGTTTGCTTTTTTGAATGAAACACTAATTAAAATTGCACAAGAAACATACAGAGTGTAGTTATGTAACTTATTGAGAAATAAATAATTATAATACATTCACTATTAAGGGGGCAAATTTTGCAGAAATTATTGTTATTAATATCTACTAATTGCATAATTCTCATTCGAACTATTATTTCTCAGATAGAACCAAGAGAAGATAAGAGCACTTCCCTTGCCAGTATCAGTGGGTAATTTGGAATATAGGCAAATATTAGAAATTAAAATATATACTTATCCCAATCAAATTAAAACAATAATTCCATGGTATGGATATATACATATCTGGGAAGGTAGGTATAAAGACAGGGCAATAAACAAAAATAAAATGTTAGTTTTCAATACAAACAATAGGTCTGTTCCAACAACGATCATAAACCAGTTATTGGCACCAGGATTCTGCGCAGTAGATTATTAGGAGCCCAAACTATATACTACGCAGAATCCTGGTGCCAATAATTGGTTTCATATCGTTGTTGGAACATACCTAATAACTGTTAATATCAATAAAACAACAGTTACTTATTTACTTTTCTTTTAGTATGTTATATGCTAAAAATAACACTTAAGTAATAAACTTTAATATTATTCCAATTATTGCTCTTATATTACTCCTTCTAGCATATCCTCTGCTTCATTTAAATCAATAATAATTTATTTCCACTAGTACCTAATATAAAAGTGTACAATCTTCAAATAATCCCCTTCAGTTTTGATAATTTTTTCCCACTCTATTAGCTACTTCTTTAATTAAATCAATTAACTTGTCGATTTTTGGAAATGTATTCCCACATTATTTTAGGTGCCTGAGAATTAAAATAACCTTGTTTCTTCTTTCCGTGGAAAGCCCTTCTAAATAATATACACTATAATAATAATAATAATAATAATAATAATAACAATATGTGTTTATTAATACAAATGCATGCATACATTTGAACTGTAACCCCTGTTATTGCTTAGCCAAAAAAATACTTTTTAATTCCACGTCTAATAATATACAGTGTATTCCAATTTACAACTGAAGATAAACTTCATAATTAAACTTTGTGGGTAGAATGATGAGAGATTGTTAGCCTATCTTGTCTAATATTACCATTATGAACTAATGTTCCAAAAATTAATTTATTAAAAATATTAAAAGATTTAATTGATAATCTGCATTTTGTATATGTGCTGTAATTAACTATGTGTCACTTTGTCCAGACAAGGAAAATAAACAATATTTTAATAACTTAATACTGATAAAACTAAATTTTCAAGCAAAGTTTTTTTTGTCTTTTTAGAGTTAATATATGCCTGTTAATGTAAAGCAACCACAATCTTCATCAAGGTCTAAATATGACTCTAAAATATGATCAATTAGTAGAACAATTTTTTTGTTTTATTATTTAAAGTAATACTAACATCTACTATCAGTAACACAACATTAAAACATAACACACAATCATATTAGAAAATAACACAGTTATTACCACACTTAAAATGATCACTATTGTCATTGCACATCATAATTTCAGCGTTATTTTCACACTCTTAAAGTATTATGGTCATTATCAATGACGAAAAACTAATAGACTAATTAATTCATAATTAAGCCCTTTTTTGATTGCAATAAATCAGATTGTGTTTATTATTACATAGACAAACCTGTCGTATTCCTTGTTCGCATTAGAAAGAGGGAGACAGCTGCTAATTTGAGTGGGAATGGTTTGTGCGAGTATGTTTGTCTGAGGAGCGAGTATGCATTTTATGAATGAATCAGTATTTACACTTCGAAATGAATTGCGTACTTTCCTGAAACACTATACTACTATAATAGTTGCAATGAGAAAAATACATTAAATTGATAATAACTGGCATTAAGAATGCAAATATACTTCCCTAATGTAATTTTGAAATCCTTTTGTGCGCTTTCTGAATACCTCTGTATCTGTGACGTGTTGAGGCTGGGATAGCCTACAGATTTAATGTAGTTGACGATGTCGCCAAGAGGCGCTTCTCTTATATCGGCCGGTGTTGGCCAATACTCGCCGAACACAAATCTTCTAATAAATAAGAGTATCGATCAATCCTAGAGGATATGCTCGATGGTCTCATCTTCTTATTCGCACCCCCCACACAATGCGGATTCTGACATCTCCATGATATGGAAATACTTCCGTACTTGGCAATAACCAGTCAGAATACCTGTGATCAGGCACAGATTCTGTAGGGAATGTTCTTTAATTATGTCTGTCACTACTGATGTCAGTCCAATAGAAAGGCCAGGTCCAAAAAGTATTTAGTTGGCTGCTTTACTGCCTAGTGAATCAGTCGTCTTTCGATGTGCCCTGAAAAACACTTTACAACTAAAATAGCTTTTTTTTTTGTGAAAGGAGCGTTTATTGATATTACAATCTGATTAAGAGTTGATCAATGAGTAATTTTGTTATAACCTAACTTAACTAGGGTTGCAATCTTAAAAACTAAAGTTCTACTCGCTAGTATACCTTAGGGTCTGATAACTTAATTACACTAAACCGCACAATGCTTTGCTTTGTTATTAACACAATCACTTGGCTAACTCAAAAGGTTTCACTCTCTTGAGTCTTCTTGTCAGGTTCGTGTTGTCAAGAAGCTGGATCGCCTCAACGTTCATATGTTGGTGGAGCCGTTGTTCATGACATCGAGACTCCTAGCGAATCTGGTGATAGTCTGGTCAACAGTGTCCATCTGAAGGTCTCGATGAAGGTTGCTGTTTCTAATGTACCAAGGAGCATCGACAATGTTCCTCAATACTTTGTTCTGGAATCTCTGGATTATTAGAATATTACTGTAGCTGGCACAACTCCAGAGCTGAATGCCATAGGTCCAAATTGGTTTGAGAACTTGTTTATATAATAGAATTTTGTTATGTGTAGATAAGCTGGAATGCCTACCAAGTAACCAGTACATTTTCTAAAATAGTTGCAACAAGAAATATACATTAAATTGATAATAAAAATTTCAATTCAATTATATACATGATGTGATAACATAATATTAAACAAAAACTTAGGCTTGTACTAATAAATGCACCTAAGTGACTTAACACTTGTATGTGCAAGAACGAAATGTAAAATATAACATAAAATATAACAATATAATTGATTTAAAGTGACTCTGAACTATATAATATGGTAATGGCAAAAAATATGAAAAAGAGGAACATAAAAGAATAATTAACAGATTAAAATAATTTCTTGAATTTAGAGAAATAAATATAAGTATACTTACAAACTACAAAAGTTGAGCAATGTATTATCTTTTCTCAAAAATAAAAATTTTACATTGCTCAACAAACCTTTTATACCCAATTGTGGTTCGACTCTTCAATGGTAGTATGTTGAAAATTTTTGGTGCCATGATTGCAGTAAATCTCTGGTTGGCATCATATCTTCTAAATGGTACCAAGATCATGTTATTAAGATTATGTCTTGTTTGGTAGTGATGATTGATATAATTATTGTTTTTAGATTTAAAGACATATATACAGTTGTTAAGGTAGTAAAGACATCGAATATTTAGAATATCATAATAATATAATAGGTTAGTTGTAAAAAGTTTGTCTTTAAAAAATATTACAGGTAAAAATATAGTTTTGGACAACATTCAATTGATTTAATACATTGTCATAGAGCCCTCCCCATGTCTTAGGAGCGATTCTACTAATGATTTATAAATTTGTATAAGTAGTTTTTTAGATAAGATTTTGTGAACACAATAAAATTTTGGTATTAAGCGCCTAATTTTGTTTGCCAGATCTTGAATGTGATCATTTTCAGATTTTTATCGACTCTAATGCCTAAGTACTTTATTGTATTAGTTTCTTTAATGGTAATATCAAATTCGTTCATTTTAATACAGTTAAAACTAGGTCTATTTGGATCGTTCATAGAGAAGGCTATGTAAAATGTTTTGTCTGCGTTCAAGGTTAATTTACTAAAATCAAGCCAGCGTTTAACTATTTCAAAACCGGCAATTGCTTTATCTTTAACAATTTCCCAGATGTTTCCTTTAAAAAGTCATCTGCATAAGAAATGGAATCTCCATTTAAATATAGTAATGAATTAATGTAGATAATGAACAGAAGAGGACCAAGTACAGTGCCTTGTGGTATTCCAATTTTAACATCTAAAGAATCACTATACACATTTTTAATTTTTACTTTCTGTTTACGCTCTTTTAAATAACTTTTCAACACAATACCCCTAACACCATATTGTTCAAGAACCTCAATGAGCTGTCTATGAGGTACCGTGTCGAAAGTGCAAGATCAAGGAAAATTGCAATTGCCTTCTCATTATTGTCTAGTCCATTTTTAATGTTATTTATGAGTTCGTACATGGCATCATTAGTACTAATTCCAGGTATAAATCCAAATTGATTTTTATTTAATATGTTAACAGAAGTAAGATAATTGAATAATCTATTTTTTAAACATTTTTCAAAAATTTTAGCAAAATTGGAGATAACACTTATGGGTCGGTAATTTGTAACATTGGCTTTGTTACCTTTTTTGAAAATTGGAGTGATTGTTGATATTTTAAAATGTGAAGGTACTATACTGGTTACAAAAGTTCTGTTTATTATATGGACTAGGGGATCTAAAAGAAGTTTGTGATATTTTTTTATTAGCCTTGATGTAATGCCATCATAGCCTGGTGCGCTGTTATTTTTTAAGCTGTTAATATGCAAAATTATTTCTTCATTGGAAACAGGTTTTAAAGCCATGGAGTGTACAAAATGGGGGCAGTTCACATTATTCTGGTAGTTAGGTTGTTTAATTTTTGCATACATGTCAGTTCCTACATTTACAAAAAATCTATTACAGAAATTAGCCATTTCGGTATCGTCTCTAAAGGGTTCGTTATTACTATTTGATATACTTATATTATTGTTGGTTTTATTTATTTTCTCATTTGTGGCATGAGCAATTATTTCATAAATTTTTTTCATATTATTGATATTTTCTTTAATTTGATTGATTCTTGTAGTACGTGTTTTTCGTAATTTGGATTAGTTTGTTAAGATTATTTCTATAATTTTTATATTCTTGTGATAAATTAACATTATTTTTATTTCCAGTTACAAGTCTTTTTAATTTATCTCTTTGTTTAATAGATTTTATTATACCGCTAGTGATCCAAGGTTTAAGTTTCTTGCAGTTAACTGAATTTATTATTTTAGTGTGAAGGCAACCATCGTATATGGTCTTAAAGGTATCAATAAAAGTTTGATAAGCGAATTCTGGGTCATTTTGAGCAAAAACATTTCCCCAATTCACTAAACTTATCTTGTCTCCGAATTTGTCATCATCAAATATCTGAACAGTTTTTTTGTTTATATTATTGTTTACAGTATTGTTACCATTTTTAGATGGATATTTTAGAATATAGGAAAATGATCCATGATATTTGTATCTATTACAAAAGCATCTTGTGCTAGATTATTTATTTCTAATTTTTTTCTCATAAAAATATTCTCTATACAGGAGCTGGATTCTCGAGTTACTCTAGTATATGAATTTATGTAAGACTTAAAACCTAGATAAGCTAACAGAGATATATAGTTGTTTGATACTGCACTTGTGGGATTAAGTATGTTAATGTTTATATCACCAATTATAATGTCTATATTATTGCCTTTAAAGTTATTTAAAAAAGATTCTAAATCTCCCAAAAACAAGTTTTCATTAATGGATGGGGCTCTATAACAAGTTGGTAAGGAAATGTCTATGTTATTCCATTTAAAATTAATTATTGTAATGAGTAACATTACTTAAAGGTAAAATAATATTTTGTATATTAAAGTTAATAATAATAATTAATACTCTCCCTAATTCACACCCTTACGAATGAATTTCAACCCCTGAAGTCGACTGAACGACTTGTGTAGGGGAAGGGACGGCTATTATTATTATTTGCCGTGGCGCTCCGGGGCGACTTAAGGATGATTGATGGTGCCATTTGACTTACACGTGAGGCAAACCCGGAAAACCTCACCCACCATCATCGAGACGATAATGTATGGCGATTTTATAATCTGCATATCAATAGAAATTGAATTTTCTATTAATACGGCACACATCAAATCCTAAACCGAACCATGCAATTTAATTAAAAATCCACATGGTCTGGTCTGGGATTCAAAGCCCAGCAGTCTCGGACTCATAAACTTGCCTATAAATGAATATAAGCGCGTTAGACCGCTACACCATCGACCCGATAATGTTATTTCTAATAAGAATGTTTGAAAACCTTGTATTGTATAATAATTTTCATTTATGTTTCTTGTTTCCCCAAAGATAATTATCTCCATGTCTTTTATTTGAAATGTTTCAAGAAATACTAAGAAGGGGTCAAAAATTTTGTTGCTTCAGCACAATATTTGTTATACTGACCTAAGTCATATCTTTGGTTTACAATACTTAAAGCTTGAGTTTCTTCAAGTTTTATTTAATTTAAAATATCTAATTCGGCAATGTCCATTAATTAAATTTAAGCTAGTACCTAAGTATAAAAATTTTAAAGACAAAGAAAAGATACTTAAAAAATATAGACAATTTGTCAGCAGTTTATTTCATTCAGTGTAGCTTATCTTGTTTCTCAGCATATCTAGGTGAAATTTGAAGGTTGGGCAAGCTGGATTTCTGCTTTCATGGTCAGTGGCGTGGTTAGTATTATATTTCCCATTAGACAATTCACAGTTTTTACAATATGTGTTTTGTTTAGGACAGTCTTTTTCCATGTTTATTGGAGCTGATAGGACATCTAATTCTATTACCACAGTCCTCTTTTTATGATAATATTTCTGACATTTGTAACATTTTGGTACGCTCAAATCTTCATAGACCATACATCTTTCCCAGCATAATTTCTTTAGTTTTAATATTAAGAATTCATTAAGAATACAAATATACTTCCCTAATGTAATTTTGAAAGCCTTTTCTGCACTTTAGAATATTATGTTTAGTCAATACCGAATTATAATCATAAATAATCCTTGTAACAATACTCCCTCATAATAATTTGACAACTACGTGAATGCCACCTGAATGTTTCCAATTCGATTTTTGTAAACAAAATTAGTCTAGTAGTTGTTCATCATTGGTCGTTATCAAAAATGTCACGGTGGCTATCATGCACATTATGTTCAATTGAAACATCACTTCGTGTTGTTTATTCCTAATCAATCTGCCCTCTGCCTATAACTAAATTCTGGGTATGTAGTGAAATTCTTTAATACTAGCCATGAGCTTGTTGCTGTGATTGGTTCATATAAGTGTGTTTTTGTTATGCTTTACAGAGCGTGGTCCAAGAGTTGTTTTAGTCCACATTGACTAGATACAGACGTCGACTACACACCTCTTTATCGTCATTTTTTGCTGTGCCCTTTGACATTTTTTAGTATAATATATTTCATAAAGCTTACATTGATATCGATTTCATGAACTACACTTATAGTGATTATCTTGGGTTATGCATGTACTTGCATTCATTAAATATCTAAAAGTTATAGATATGTACAATTTTCGTTTTATAGATTGTTTTTAAAAACCAGATTAAATGATTGGTCCGCATTGGTGCTTTCTTCCCTATTTACTTTTAAATTTCCCTTAAAAAAAATAGAGGAAATTTGAATTTTCAAAAATATATTCATTGAGTAAATCACAGTATTGAGAGATTATCAGAAAATGGCTGTTCATAGTTCATCTCTAGTAGATTTAAGAAAACTCTAATCATTTTTCAGTGAAGATAGTTATAAAAGGGGACAGGAATGTAGGAAAAACTTGCTTGTTCCATAGACTACAAGGCAAAAAATTTTTTGAAGAATACATTCCAACTGATGAAATTCAAGTAACTTCAATACAGTGGAACTACAAAGCTACAGATGACATTGTCAAGGTGGAAGTATGGGATGTTGTTGATAAAGGAAAAAAGAAAAAACACTTCGAAGGATTGAAGTTGGAAAATTCTCAGATAGAGGTTGAAGAAGAACATGCTTTAGATGCTGAATTTTTAGATGTTTACAAAGGAACCAATGGGGTAAGTAGGTTACACAAAAGGTCATAGTATAAAAAAATATTTAAACCAGAAGTGACATCTATATTTTTTGTTTTACGATTATGATTTTATTTGATTATACAACTACATCTTTAAGAATATTTATCAACATAACATTTTATTTGAAGGTTATCTGAAAATACAATATTTATATTGGATTAATTTAACAAAAAGATCCATTGTTCCATTAATAAATTTAAACTTTATGAAAATATGTACTAAACCTATACAAAGTAAAAATTATTTTTACACACTTTTTAATCTACCAGTTTTGATATTATTGCGTTCTTATTTTTTATTTATATATTACATCATTAAATTAGGATCAATAGTAATAATGGCAATTAAATATTTATCTATCATTACAACAGTTTCCCTTAACAAACTTTGTCCAACTTTGATATACCAATACAGGGATAACTCTCACATAATTTTAACAGGAAGTAAAGGAGACAAAATAGAGCCAAAAGTCTGATATATTGATGTCCTAAAATCAACTTTTTTCTATTATCATCCTATAAACTACTATAAAAAAAGTTGCCCACATATCTTCTAAAATAGAAAATTGAGATAAATTAAAAATATGGATAGATAAAAAATAACTATACACATATCACAGGAAAATTTCAAATCATTTTAAAAAATATTGTAACTTTACAAACCGGGTCCTAACCTAGTTTTACAAATATTCATAACCTTGGCCTAAACTCCGTCTACTCTGTATTCAACTTAAATGCAAGTAACCCATAAACACAACTAATCCCCATGACCACATCACCACAGCATGATGCGCACAAGCTCGACTGCTATTGGCCAGCCCTTTGATCCCGTTTTGAATGTTTCCCTACCCTCTAGCTCAATGTGCTGCGGTCATTGGGCTAGTTGTGTTTATGCGTTACTTGTGTTTAACTTGAATATAGTTTAGTAAATACCCCATGAAATAACTTTTGTAGACCCCAAATTTACGTTTAGAGAGTTCATTTTAGCTGCAATGGAGACAAAACAAAATAAATTTCGAATAGATTTATTAAAACGTATCTTTTTGTACCGCCTGAAAATTATATTTTGTGTTGTTTTTAGGCTTAACATTATAGTTAAGTAGGCTTTTCAGTGTGATATTTCTAACCGCAGTGATATGAATCCCCACAAAGGGTATTCTCCTAGTTAGAATTATGTTTTGTCTGATATAAGGGAATACAGTCGTAACACGAAGAGTTTAGAAAGGTCTAGAATATAATGTGTAAATGCAAAGTGTAGGTTGGTCTCATCGTGCATCACACCATTTCACTAACATTTCAATGGCATAATGTACAAATGTACTATTATAATTGTATTTATAATAATTTATTCTTTATTCAATTATTCTTTATTCAATAATTCTTTATTCAATAATTCTTTATCCAATAATTCTTTATAATTATAATAATAACAGGATTCATTACAACAATAAACAAATTATAATTTAATCACAGGTAAATAAGTTAGCACCTAGGTGTGGGCACCTGTATGTGCTAGACATACTAAGACTGAACTGAAGACTAAAACTAAAACGTAAAGTTAATGCATTTTTAATAAATGTTAAATGTAATAATGTTATATATAATATGTAATAATGAAATAATCTTGTAATCTACAGGGTTTTAACATATTACAGTGAGATGTGTGTTAATCTAAGAATCTATACAATTTTGAGTAGTTTTGGAAGATGAAGGATTTGCATGCTTTCTTAAATAAATGTTGTTTGTTAATTAATTTGATCTCAAGAGGTAAAGCATTGTAACACTTTGGTTCTAAGTAATTTATACAATTCTTGAAAGATTCACTATTAGGCATAGATATTTTAATATGCAAGTTACTAAAGGTTCTGGTTTTGTGTTGATGCCCCAGAGATTTTTTAGTACCACATGTTTTTGTATGTAACAGCATATTGTTTTCATGTATAAACTTCTAACATTAGATATTGTTTCATTATATAGTAGAGTAGTAGGATATCGCTGTTTGCTGAAAATAATTTTAGTATTTTATTTTGTATGACATTTAATGGTCTAAGGGTTGTTTCATGTAGGCCTTCCCATACTAGTAAACCATAACGTAGAATAGATTCTACCAAGCTAAAATATAGGCTTATCAAGAGATTTTGGTTAAGAAAAGGTTTGTTCCAACACGCAAGAAAACCGTAATATTACCGTACAAATCGTGCGCTCTAACCAAAAATTGTATACAGCGCATGATTTGTACGGTAATATTTCGGTTTTTGCACATGTTGGAACAGACTTAAATTGTACTGCTGAAGGTGAGTATGGTATCATCTGCATAAGAAAATACTTTACCTTGAATGTCGATCTCAGTCAAGCCTTTGATGTATAAGTTGAATAATATTGGCACTAAGACCGTACCTTGAGGTATATCAATTTGTACATATTCAGGATTACTAAGACTTTCTCTTATTTTAACTTGTTGTTTTCTGAGTCAGATAGCTTTCAAAGACTTTCCACGCAGTGCCTCTTATCCCGTTCTTTTCAGGTACGTCAAGTAGTTTTTGGTGTGGCACTGTGTCAAAAGCCTTTGCTAAATCTAAAAAGGTGGCGATACATTTTTTATTGGTATTCATTTCTTCAGCTACATGAGATATTAGTGCATGCATAGCATCACTTGAATTAAGACCCTCTGTAAAAACCATATTGATACTGAGGAAGCAGATTGTTAATTGTTAAGTATTCGATTAGTCTCTCTTTCAAAAAATTTTCAAAGGTCAGTAATTGCCTATTAAGTTTGGGTTACCGGTTTTATAGATCGGGGTTATAATGGTGGCAGAATATTGTATTAATTGTATGTTTTTAGGGAGTTACCATGAACGGATGTAATAGTTTTAAATGTTTTACTGATACACAATGAAATCCATGGGCACTGTTGTTATTTAGGCTATTTATATATCTAATTGTATCATTGTCACAAATAGGTATAGAACAATAATTCTATAGACGTGAGGAAAATAGCATGTTTAGGTCCTTACTACTGGGGTTCCTCATGTACTATTGGTGGCTTTTAGCTCTTCTCGGTGGCCCAAAGCTCTTTTTTGGCGCTTGCTCTGTCATCCGGCAATGCATTGTTATAAATTACAGTCCCGAGGTCATGATAGTTCCCAAAACAGGTTCACTCCTTACATTCTAAAAGGACAATTATACTGATTACATCCACAATATGCAGATATGTATAAATAAAACTGACCCGATCCTAAATATGTATTTACTACTAACCCACCCCTGTATTCAATTCAATTTATTGCAAATAATATTATATTACATATATAAAAATGTTTTACAAAACAATATACTAATTATAAAATGGCCTACTGGGCTTATAACCATGGTATTTCCGGGGGGGGGGGGGGAAGGTGGGTATTAATAATTTTATTCGTCACCTTCATCTTGTTTGTTTTTGCTCGGAAAATCTCGCGGAATTCGAGGATTTCATCGAGCAGTTCGGGGAGCGGGGGGATTATTTACACTATTCCCCACTAGTATCCGCGCCTGGTCACCTTAGATAACTAGATCGCACATGAACGTCGCCGGGAGTAGTACCTTAAATGAAATAAATAAACTGTATAATGTTTTATCGGAGTGAAAAATTAAACTCTATTAAACGTACGTCAGTCCTGTCACCTTATAGGTAACAGGTAATTAAAATTGCGATAAAATATTTAAGGGGAAATTAAATTAAAATATCAACCCATGGTTGTTAGGTTTTATCTTTTATTGTATTCAAAGATATCGTTTAACTTTGATCTGAAATCAGCCGTCTTTAAATAAATTCAGTATGTTCGTTTATTTTTATTTACTGATGATCGCATTTTTAATAATTGTTTCAGGAGGTTTTGTAATGATATTGTACCAAATGTATAGTATAATAGTGGTTATTTTAAACATTGAATATTTATTTTACTCTTAGACGCCATAATATTAGTGAAGGTCTAATTAGAATTCCTCATAAATGTTACAAAAGTTACAGTGGGAGTTATGGAGGTCAAAACCCCCCTAGCGTGCAATAGTGTGGATGAAGACAGGTTAAATGTGCAGGTCGTATTAATGGGTTGATCCTACAGATAAATTAATTTATTGACAGATGAAGTTCTTCCAGAAATTGCTAAAAATAAGAGAAGATTACTTTTAAGTTAATGTTTTAAATACAAAAACTAATTTATACTTTTATTTTTTATGATTTTTATTCAGAAAGTGTCATTTTATTTGTTATGTATTATTTGTTTGTTTTTATTAATTTTTTTATCGTTTTATAAAAAATAATTCACTTTTATTTATTTTTTAAATGAAAACAATTTGTATAAAATATGTATGTCGGATTAGACTCCAAGTCTCATAGTTCAGGTGCCTTTAGAGCTGCAGTCTTTTTAGAACCCAACTAAATAAGTTTTTTTCTCCTTTATTAACCACCTGTTATAATTATGCTGGTTTATCCATAGTTGTAGAAATAAAATAATTTCTGGAAGGTTTTTAAAATCCATAACTATTATTTAGGTTATCATGATGTTGGATTTAACAAAAAATTGGACTTTTGATTATGTTCAACGTGAGCTGCCAAAAATTCCTGGACACATTCCTGTTATAATTTTATCAAATCATTGTGATATGTCACACCATAGAACTGTTACAGTGGATCACATTAATTACTATATCGAGTCTGTTGCAGGGTAAGTAGTTTTAGTTATAGAAACTTTGCTATGTAATTTATTGAAAAAGTAATAATAAAGTAATAACTTTCATTTTTTTATACAAAACGACCAATTTCATAAAATTCTTATAACAGTTCTTCAGAGAATTTGATGTACGATTATTGCATTCTTAGTACCTGAATTTCAAATTTAACATGGTTTATAAAACACATTTAGATATAGACAAATTTGATTTTTTTATTTTTATTAGTTCTCGGAGTGCCCAAGTTCGTCACTCAGAATCTTCAATGCTGAATGGATTCGGTTTAAAAATTCTTCATAAGTTCTTCAACCTACCGTTTCTGCAACTTCAAAAAGAAACGCTATTAAAACAACTCGAAACAAATGACACTGAGACTGAAGCCACCGTTCAAGAATTGGACATGTACTGTAATTCTGATGAAGCAAATTACAGTAAATTTTTGGAGAATTTGGTTAAAAAACGGCGAGAAGTCGCTGATTCGAACGCAAATATTCCACCACCACAAGTCAAACCACAAGGAAATGTTGCTGGTAATGAAATGAAGAGGTCGCAAAGTGCTTCTATAGTTATAGGCGCTGGTAGGTTTCTTTAAAATCTTATTTGTGTTTATCACAATCTATACTTATAACGCTTTAAGGAACAATTTAAATACTTTGCCAAATTGTACCTATACCTCAATTCCGATAGTTTGCAAACTGTCGTCATTCAAATCATTTTGCTATATAATAATATGTAGTTTGTTGATAGTGATGTATTCAGCACGATGTCAGTCTAAAATACAAAACAAAAATGTTTCGACTATTTTTTACTTGCAATTAAATCATTAAGTTCTATTGATTTAATTTTTTTCAAATTTAGTTTCAACTCATTTTGTGATAAATTAAACGTCACTGCATTTGGAAAACGTCTTATGTGAGATCATCAGATATCTATGCCATTTCCATTAGAGTTTGTCTACCTCACTTATTACCCTATGAAATAAAAAGAGAAAGTCAGCACTAACTAAAAAAGGGCAATACATTAGTATCACCAAATAGTGGAACTATGAACAACGTGCTTTCATGAAAATTGTCGGTACTTTTTAAGCTTTATATGGTCAATATATTTTTATATATTTCATTATCAGTTTTTTTTCTCTCTAATAATTACTAACTTTAGGTAAACCAATTCCTTATGGAAATACAGCTTTGACTGCCAAAAAACCACCGATTGTTCCTCAAATTTCGAAAAGTTCCAGCATGAGTTCTGGTTTTGTGTCAAAATGGGGCACAGATACTAGGGTAGTTGATGGAATTCCTGATGTGAAAAATTTAGAAATCAGTCCTATAAAGTCCGTAGAAGAATTTTGTCCCGATAATGGACACTTAGGAGGATTTTTGGACGATGTACAGATTCCATCTCAAATTAATAATAATAACGAGGAAGGTGACTCTGGAACGTGAGTATTTCGTATGCAGATTTATTGAGAAAAAAACTAATCAAGTATATATTTATTATCATTGCAGTAATAATTATGGGAAACGATAAAGTGGCATTAATTAAATTTACAAATTGAATTTAAAAAAACATTTGTTCCACGATTGTTTGTTACTGAAACGAGTATACCAAACTTGAATCCCATTCTTTTTTTTAAAGGGTTGAAAATGCTTTTATGTACACCTTTACGTTATTCTGTGATAGCGAGGGGTTCAGGCTTCTCTACTATCCACTAAATATCTCCTCTATATCAGCTCGACCATCCTCTGAAACACCTAGTCGGTATAGCAACAAATGCGGTCCTAATCTAATTGTCTGCCTCTCTTATTTTGTTCTATTGTTTGATGAAGCTGTGTATCACATCTCAGTTTTCCGTTTTTTCAGGATTTTCCAATTAAATATTCCCGATCAATCTATCCAAGCCTGTTTTCTACCTCTACTTATTTAACCCACCATCTTAGACATGTAAATAGAGTGTGTTGCGGATCATCTCTTTTTTTGCAGTATACAGGTGTTGTTTTTTTAAACTGCTTGAGGTAGGCCATAAAGCACCCATGCCAGCGTTAGAAATGAGTCAGTACGTCGGTACTCTTGTCTCCTTGTCCATTGTGCCACATTCTCCATTTCAGACCACTCCTGTTGCCTCATTTCCAGCGTTCTATGTCTATGCGGTTTCTACTTGTTCTTGTACCACTACACATAACCGTTTTGATCATCCACCAACAAATAATTAGGCATGATTCCCGCTACAGCTTATGTGCACTCTTTAAGCTACGTTTTGTTAGAACAGTGCGCGACGCAAAACTCACAGTTTGCTGAGCGCTGGGCACGTCCTCTAACAATGTTAATACTATGGGAATGGTTAGAGGCAACACAGTAAGGCAGACAGCAGTGTACGTCAAAATCAATTTGAGTTTGATTTGGAGGTTAAGATAATTTGTGTTATAATTAAATTATTAAAATGTCGAAATTTTCTGTTGAAAAGGATGACATATTATTTGATATGGTAAATGGTGCATCATCATGCACTTTATGAAGTGAAAAGCAGAGAAGTACCAGAGACAATATAGTCAAAAATAATGCCTTTTTTTCATCATTACTAACAATTCTTATTCGTCTTCTTCTTCTTCTTCTTCTTCTTCTTCTTCTTCTTCTTCTTCTTCTTCTTCTTCTTCTTCTTCTTCTTCTTCTTCTTCTTCTTCTTCTTCTTCTTCTTCTTCTTCTTCTTCTTCTTCTTCTTCTTCTTCTTCTTCTTCTTCTTCTTCTTCTTCTTCTTCTTCTTCTTCTTCCATTAAAATTATCGCTACTAACAGTTTATTTAATTCATGAGTACTAATTTTCACCTGCATGTATTAACAGACAAGTTGAACTGATTTTTATTCTAACAAACCACTTCTACAAAAACTGACGTGAATCGAAAGCGACAAATTCTGCCGTACGCGTACGTCGAGCGTCACGCACTCTCCTAACAAACCGTAGCTTTACATGGTGTCCTATAGGCCAAAGCTACCCTCAGTACCGCTTTACGGTGTATCTTTTCCAGGAATTCCCTATAGATCTTCACTCTCATTGCATCCGCCTACAGTAGTACTCCGTACAGTAGGATTGACCGTATTACTTCCTTAGGTCGTTCCGTTTTTTATACTTCAGGATCCACCCAGGTTAGGCATCAATCTTTGCAGTTGCTCTAATCGCTTTTCTGCTGTCCAGAAAGTTATTATAATGTGACCATTAAAGTTTTCCCCTCTATTCTAAAGTTTTCTTCTATTTTCTTTTCCACCAGTGTTCACAGAGTGTCACCGTTTCTATTTTTTTTTTGAGCCAATTCTAATTTCCCCTCTTTTAGTCAGTATCCTATCTTCGTCTAGTCCAATTTACCAGACTGGTTAGATCTTCCAGGCTATCTGCCTTCACCAATATTGCGAGGTCATCTGCGACCACTATGCATGTAGCTCCTTCAGCTAGGGTTATTCTCAGTACCTTGTCATAAAAAAACATTCGGAAGTGTGGGGGCCTAGGGCCGAGCCCTGTGGGACTTCATTTACTCTCCCTTCCTTACTATTAACTTAGTATTGCTCGGATACCGTCGTATTATGGTAATTAAGTAACCAGAGATCCAATACTTCGACTCCTTATCGCTGTATTAAGGTGAATTAGGGCTACCCATTCGATTTACTTCTAAAGTACAAAAGGCGTTCGGGAACGGAAGATGTTAAAATAAAAGTTTTTTTTTTGTCCGTTCGGAGATAGTAGAGTGGAATGTGGATCGAGCATGCACATAAGGTGATTTAAATCGATAATAAGATATTTATGACTGATTCTTAAATAAAAAAGCTTTTTATTTGGTTTCCGTAAATACCATTAATATGGAAGAAACTTATACGGTTGTTACTTATAAGTACGATTGCACTCGGAGAGTAACAGGAGTAAAACCATAGCGCACTACTTCTACGCCTACTTCACTCTACTCCACTCTGGAGTGCGCATTCCAAACTCAACTAGTATTCCTATAATCATAAAGTATCAAAATATTTAACTTATTTCATGAAATAAACTAAATTTATAACGGTTTTTATTTTGTAGCGACACGGATACCGGCAACCCTCTGGTCTCGGAATTTCAAGAAGATTTCGAAGAAGAAATATCGAAACCTCACAAATTCGTTAAAAAAGTTGAATCGCCGTTTACTGCCCAGCTAAAATTACCCAAATCCGATGAAAGCAAGGAAAATGAAATAGACAAAAGTTTGCCGGAAGAGTACGATATGAAACAAACGACTGATGAATTTGATTCGACTATAAACTCGGAAATTTCAGAGCTAACATCAGATGCGTATGACGCTTGGATTGGAGTCGATACAAAATGGAGAAGATCGCCAGAAGGTGCGTGGGATATATTCACTTATCTATACACTTTTATGTACTTTATTCAGCAATCAGAATGTTACAAATTTGTATGAGCTAAAATTCTAATGATTATTAGTTAAGATAATATCAAAAAGACTTAATTAAGATGATATCCCCTAGGTAAATTTTTTAAATTGTTGTTTAAGTTAGTTCAAATGGCCATATTTTTTCTTTTGTTATCTGGTGGTTCCAGTAGCTGTTTCATTAATGGGTTTGGGTGAATTGCTAGAGCTTCATGGTGTTTAACTGCCTTTTCATGGATTACTTCCACAACTGTTGGAAGATGGTGATCTATGTGCAAATTATGGTTTCTTACATACCAGGGGACATTTGCAATTTATCGTATATTCTTCTTTGTATGATTGCCAAGTTTTACTTGGAGGCACAGTGCTATAGTTCCAATCCATTAGTCTAAAGTGTTTGATGATAGATTTGTAGAATATTACTTTGTTTTCTATCGATACTTGATATTTTCTTCCCATTAACTATTTGTAATTCTCTTGCTTTGATTTCAGCCTTTTCATTTAATGATATATTTTTTCTGTGTAAATGTATTGTCTATGTTAAGACCCAGGTATTTTCCTCTCTGGTATTTGTATCTTTCTTATATAGACTGGAGGTCACATTGTTTCTGGTGGATAAATGTAGATTAGATTACATTTGATTGGAGTTGGTGATATGGAAATACCAATTTAACTATTCCCAAATAGTTTTTCCCAGATTTCAAGACTCGTTTCTAAAAATTTACACAAAATAAATACCAAATTCTTTAGAAAATAAATGTTCAATTTATTCTCTCACTCATCCTTGTCTCCACTTTATAATAAAAATCTCTGTCTAACCTTTTTATATTTTTCTTAAAACATAACTCTTCTAATAACTTGTATTTAACATTCCAAAATAGTTTCACCCAATTTTTAATCTGACAATTTTCCAAAAAAACTATTAACTATTTTTTTAACTTCTAATAATACTTGAGAACTGTAGGTACCTATTAACATCATTAAATCATTTATTACATTTCGCATTCATACTTATATCTAAATATCCTCCTTATTTTCTCATCTTCTATATACTTCAGTCTATTTTATTTCTTAATTTTCATTCATAATTCTTTTCCATCTAAAATATCCATTACATTTCCTCCTAAAGGTGGGAGTTTAATTGCATTTAATTTTATTTCCAAATGAATTTAAAAGCTATAAAAGATGAAGACCTAAGATTTGATAGACTTTTTTAAATAAATCAGAGCAGTTGCTGACGCTAATATCAATAATGCAACTTTAACAAAAATTAAAATAAAACTTTAAACAATTATATAAAAAAAAAAATATATATATTTTTTTTATGGAGATAAGAAATAGTCTATTAAAAACCAATTACAATTACGTTGAAACCAATTCTCAAATTGATGTAATGACGAAGAAAATTGAGAAATAAAGTACAAGCCGAAATTTCAAATAATATAATACCATTGTCTACCATTTATAGAGCCAGTAGACTTGTTCCCATCAAGGATTTTAAACATTATATTCGGAATATAGTTTGGATCATTTAAAGCCAAACGGAAGATGAAATCTGTACCTGTAATTAAAATAATGGCAACAAGTTCAAATTCGGGTTGAATTCAAGCAAATTCGTTTTTGTTAAGTTTATTTTTTAATTTAGTACAATCCAGAAATTCAAATCTTTGTGTTAATTATTTTTAAAATAGTAATTTTATGTAAATAACCTCTAAATTACTGTTTAAGACATTGTAGATTTTCTTTAGTTATTCGTAGAAATATAATATACAATACTATACAATTCGAGTGGTTTGCTTGTATCGCACTGAATACTTTATTGAATTTTTGTAGATCGTGTTTTGAAAATAACACGAAACGGAACATACCGTAATAAAGTCAGTCTTCACAAAACTTACGTATGTACAAAAACAAATGTAGTATTCTCTAATCAATCCCTTTATTATTTATTATTGTTTTTGCAATTGTAGGTGTTCGTTTTTTGAACTATTTACCCTTAATTCTGAAATATTATTTGCATTATTTTTAAAATTTCCTGTCAATCATACCTATTTCTATTTATACAAATAATGTAGACATAATGTCGGAAGTTTAATACAACTTGGCATCAATGTTTTGTTTCCACTCTACGCTTTGACCTGACTTTCGTTAGCGGAAACCGGTAGCATTTAGAGAAAATAGTTTTTGCGTAAAATACTTTATTAAACAGTAATTGAACGTGGTTGGTTTACCAGATATGTAACGGTTCTCAGTTGTGATTCGGTGTCTTTTCAATTCCCGCCTTAAGTTCTTCTAATTTCATACATTTTCTCATTATACATTATATTATTTTAAATATCATTATTTTCTTTATGCCGCATTATTCATTGTACCACATTATTTCATTATTCCGCATTATTTATTATTATTTCATATACCTATCGAATTTATTATACACATCGTACAAATCATATTATCTTTCATTTTAATCCATTACCTATTCATCTCCTTTATACTTTTACTTTCCTACAAACATTTCTTCCTTAATTTACTACTCTTATGCACAAAATCTTTGCTATTTAAATCATCAACTATATTTTCTATTCTATTTTCCTCTATTATCTTTGATATAACCTATATTCTGTTTATTTTCTCTTTCATGTTAACTTTTACACTTAATAATGACCTATCTAATTCTATTTTATTCATTTTATCTTTACAATTTCCGTATTCTCAGCTACTTACAAAATTCCAAATCTCCGTCCCCCATCTAAATTTGTCCTACTACTTTTATTTCACATTTGTCCTTACTCTCTCATTTTCTATCAACTCCCGATTTATAAATATTTTCAAGGCATTCATCTCTACCTATTCTATCCCCCAAAAGTGGAGAGAGGTAAAAGTGGTATTCATACCCAAACCTGGGAGGATGGATTACACTGTCCCAAAAACATACCGACCAATTAGTTGCTGACCGGATAGAAAGATCCCTGGACAATAAGGAGTCCGCCTTGGGTGTTTTCATAGACATAGAAGGTGCTTTTGATAAAATCACCTTCCCAAAGATAATACACTCACTAACCTAGAGGAATGTTCCACAAATGGTTAGTGGGTGGATACATAACATGCTCTCAAAACGAGCAGTAAACATAAGTGTAGAAGATGTGAATATAAGAGGCTTGGTTGTGAGGGGATGTCCACAGGGAGGGGTGCTATCACCTCTACTGTGGAATATGGTCCTCGACACCCTCATCAGCCGCCTCAATAATGACAGTCACTACACAATAGCATATGTAGATGACCTGGTCATTCTGCAAACAAGGAATTTTGATAGTATACTCTACGAAAGAATGCAAGTAGCTCTAAAAATTATAGAAAAGTGGTGCAAGGATCATTCACTGTCTATCAATCCTAAGAAGACAAATGGTCCTTTTCACAAGGAAAAGGTTTAAAATGGAATTAAAACCTCCAGAACTCCTAAACACAAAACTAAACTTTGTAACAGAGGTGAAGTACCTAGGTCTCACCTTTGACAGCAAGTTAACATGGAACTCGCATTTAGAAAACAGAGTTAAAAGAGCATACATTGCTTATGAACAATGCCGCCGAACCGTAGGGCGCACCTGGGGCTTCTCCCCCAGAGTCGTCGCATGGACTTATACTAACATACGGTGCTGGTGAGGCGAGACATCACTTTTGGCAGGAGGCGCTGGATACGCTCCCACTGCTTCAAGCGAACATGAACTCCATCTCATCGAAATATATCTTTCATAAGCCATATAAAGTTATAATAGAACAAATAGAAGAGCCGGAAGTGGCAGGTACAATTCATATCTACACTGACGGTTCTAAAACAAAACAAGGCTCAGGATGTGGAATATACTCCAGATTCTTAAACCTAAACATAAAATGGGCTGTGAGCAATAGTGCCATAGAGCAATAGCAACAGATATAGATACCTATTCTGTTTTTCATTTCATAATCACTTCACATCTGTTTTGATTTTAACCCCACTTTTACTATTTGACTTTTCCTTCCTTACTCCTGTATCAGTTTTACTTTTATTTTAATGTTCCTTTTATTTTTATTTACTATTTTATTATTTAGTTTTAATGTTACCTTTATGTTTCTTCTTTTTGATCCTATATATTTTCTTTTATCTTTTCTTCTTTATCTTGTTTTCTATTTTCCTCATTAATTTATTTTCTATTTTCTTTTTCTTATTCTTCAATGTTCCTTTTCTTATGCTAATTTTATTTATGTTTACTTCTTTTTTTACACTGGGAATCTGCTTTTCTTTTAAGTTCTATTTAACCTCTTCTACATCTATGTTTATTTCTTGAATTTCTATGTTTTTTCAACTTATTTTACTTCTACGTCTCTTTCTTCCTTATTCAATTCTAAATTTTCTTCATTGATTTTCTTTGTTTCTTCAATATGTATTCTATAGTTTAGTCTATTTTCTCTTCATTATCTTGTGTAACTATATCGATCATTTGTTTTTTATCCTCCTTTTTGTTTTCTTCTAATTTAGACATTTTCCTACAATTTTCATTCATGTTCTTACTTATTCCAATTCTTCCATATCTTTTTTCTATTTTCATTAATTTCCTCCGTCATTCCAATGAGCACTTGCAGTAGATCTATCTTTATTTCTTCTCTTGATTCTCAATAATCTCATTTTCTAACGACATTGTTCCTGTATTATCCTGTTTTCCCTGCTGTTCTTGTTTTGCTTTTCCATTCGTTCTTTGATAATGGTATCTCCTAAATCTTGCTGTTCTACGCTCTCACCATCTCTATCCTGTTCTTCCATCAAATCAACCTTCTTTTCTCCTCGCAGATCCATATTATCTATCACTAAACACTTTTTTATTTCACACTCGTCTATATTATTCTTTTAAATTTAATCTTGTTTCCCCTATTTTTAATTTCCCAGACTATCTTAAAATTTATACCCCTTTTTAAGTTAAATTCTAATATTCATTCAACATACACCCTCTCATTTACTTAAATCTTGTTGCCTCCAAAAAAGTTTCCATGCATCCAAAAAAACATTCCATACATTACAATATTCCTCCAAACCACCATTCTTTACATGCATAACACATTTCTCCTTTAAAAATGTTTAAAAATCAACAATTCAAACATAAATACAAAAAGTATTTCCCAATTTTCTTTCAAAGTTCCAGAATTCCAATTTTTTTTTGTCCACCGTGGCCTTTTCAGTTCTATTATGGTACTCCGAGGATAAATGTAATATTTACAGATATCCTGGAAAAAGGAACCTCCCGTACAGGCTAAATTCGTTTAGTACACAAACGGATCAAAAACCAAGGAGTCAGTGCTGGAATCTATGGACCCAAATCACAAACCATTTAGCTGAGTCAAGGAAAATATGCAACAGTGTTCCAGGCTGAACTAATGGTCATACAATACTGTGCAAGAAAAATATTAAATCAGCAAGTATTAGGCAAAACTATTGTCATCTACTCTGATAGTCAAGCAGCTCTAAAGACAATCCTCTCACCAGAAATCGACTGGTGAAAGAGTGCCTAGAAGACTTGGCAGAGTTACGAGGAATAGCAGGGCAACGAAAAGGGCGATGAATTAGCCCGAGAAGGCTCAGGCCATGACATGCCCCGGCATTGTGCAAAGCATCCAACAAGCAATGAATGTAAGAAGAGTCTCAGGAATAGTGGAACAACTATTCAAACAGTTCATCAAGGAACCATCGGCCAAGTGGATCAAAAACGTCAAATCGTTAGGATGACAGTAGGGCTTTTTACTGGACACTGTCGCCCAAGAAAGCACATGAGTGTCATCAATCCAGCAGAAGAAGCAACTTTGTGCAGGTCTGTAAAGAAAAAGGGGAACATCAATCCACGTACCGTGCCAGTGTGAAAGCCTGAAGAAAAGCCAAATGCATGCAAATACATGCGATAGCCACTGTTAAAGTCGTAATAAAAAAGACCAAGTTAGACGAGATACTTTAAAAAAACGAAGTGCCACAATAAATCTGAAAAGGTCGCGATGGACAAGGACAAATAATGTCCAACTTCTTTTAAATCTAATCTAATCTAACACAGATTTATTTTCGTTTTTTATTTTCCACTTTAACCATTCTTGGAGATTATTTAAATGATTTTTTGTAAAATTGCTGCAATTTGAGGATTTTCGTAATTTGACAAAATGGCTGTGTCGTCGGCAAATGTCCCAGTAGTAGTGTTTTGTGTTATTAGTAGGTCTAATGTGTACAAGACATATATGATAGGCCTCAAAACACTTCCCTGTGGCACCCCTTATTTGATTGGTTTATGGTCTGACTTTTTTACCTTTGTTTAAAAATAAATGTTCTTTCACTCACGTATTATATTAGTTAAGAGTAAGCTGGAGGTAGAGTGTGTTTTATTTTATGAACTGGTTCGGGGTGTAATACTTTTATCATTACAGTACTGTTTGCTTTATAGTGCTTTATTAATGATCTTTCAGAATTGTGCTTCTGGTGGAATCCAAATTTCTGGTGGCAGGCCCTTCATTTATTCTATGTATCACCAGCTCTATACACTTACAGCAAAAACATTGAAATATTTATATCTAAAATGTTACTTGTTTAGGAGGTGAAGATAACTCGGTGGTTAGCCAAACTTTAGACTACAGTAATAGCACCGTCTACGATGATAGTAACAGTGTAAATTCTTCAAACGTGCACATGGAATTGTTGAGTTCTAGAACGAGTTTTCCAACAAAATCCAGCGGCAACAGTGACGCAGAGGACGGTGGACATTCTTCGAGTTCAGCCAAGAAAGAGAAAAAACCAAAAAACAAGGTAAATTCCTGACTATAGGAACGAAAAAATAGGATATCTAGTTTATATTCTGACATAGGAATTTTTATTTCAGACTGCGAAAAAGCACAAAAAGAAGGACAAAGACAAAGAAAAAGCCAAAGATACCAATAAGAAATCTGATAAGAAAAATAAGAGGCAGTCTCGAGATGAAGCTTACAATTCGCACAAGGACGAATTAGAAGAATTTCTGAACGGTACTACTAGTCCACCCCTGGAAGCTGATTACGAAGCTATTTAGCGTATACTGTCTTCCATCAAATATAGATATGTACTGGATGTTTAAAAATGTAACGCTCTTTATGGCCTTTTAACGTTTTAAAAGCAGCAAGTCTAAGTTTATATCGAAAGATAAACAAATCCCTTTTAAGGGAACTATTTTTATTTATAACGCGTTGTGTCCATGTTGGGTATTTTCTGATTTAAGTTCTGTACCGCGTGCCCACCCGTGAGCACTCTACAACTTTCACTTCAAGTCCTTGGTCACATTTTATATGAAATTTTTGTATGTTAGTGGATTGTGAGGACCCAAGGTACAATAGAACCGTATGTGGACTGAGCAGAATCGATAAATTATAATGTATGAGCTGTGAAGAAATTTAATTTTTTTATTGGTTACAAAGAAATCATCGATGTGAAATGAATAAAAATAAAAGTTGAGTAAATTACTGAAATTATAAAATGTAAAGCTACTTAACTCTTACAAATAATATATTTCATCATCTATTCATGCTACAAAAAATAAATGCAATTATTTCGAAAAAGAAGAGACATTTAAGTGGACATTTGGTCCCGTGGGCAGGTGGGCACCGAAAACAACTAAAAAGTGAATCGAAGTAGATAAAAAGAAACCAGTTTAAGTAAAAAAAAGCGACAATAGAAGTTTGGTCCCAAGGGTCGAACATCTATTCTCAGCATGGGACTTAACGTGTTAAATAAAGCTATTCGTCTGCTTAAAAAATTGCATTTTTCGACTAGAAAAGGCTGTCACTTTTGTAAAGCGGATAATAAATTAAACAACATGACAATGTACAGGTCTGTTATTTTTTAGTTATGTTATTTTAAAGTAAAAAATATGGCTAACCAAAAATAAGAAATTGGTAAGAACATTTTTATGATTTAAGAAAAATAATTTACATCCGAATTTGTGATATTTTGTCAAGCTTCATGCATTGATGTCTTAAAATGATTAGGGAATAATGAAAGTAGGATGTAATGAAAATTTCTACCTATGGTTACGTCAGTTGTCAACGTTGACATAAATGACATATAATATAAAATGTTATTTTATGGTTACGTCAGCTGTCAACGTTGGCTTAAATGACTCATGACAATATACAATTATAATTTTACTTTTAGATGCATTGCTTGATAAAAAAAAAGATAAAATAGGAAATAAGAAATTTTCAATACATTCTTGGTATAATACTGTTTTGAAATCGTAGTTAGAATTGTTAAAGTAATTAGGAAAACTTTTTTGTATGAAAACCGGCTGTTTTCTATTGATTCTTGTTTTTATTTTAAGTGATACGGAGTTTTATTTGTGTTAAGTTAAGGTTCATATTTATGTTAATCTGAATGGGATTAATATGGCAAAATTTTACCAACTAAATTCATTTTTGAGGTTTTGATGGTTGAATGTTTTCTGTTATCTCTTAAGCACACTTAAATATGCACCTGATTAACTTGTAATAAAAATTGTTAGTTTTATTTTAATAAAATAACTATTTATGTTTTTATATTTTATATAATATTGTCGTTAAAATACAATAGTACATAACATTTGGATGTTTTAATGTTTTCCTTTTTTATCTAAACAAACCATATATATTATGGTTGAGAAGAGACGTAACAACAGAAGAACCAGTTGAAAAAAATACTTTTTACTAAATAGAATGGCCATGTCTTGAAAAATCCACAGACAAGCCTCAAAGCTGTGTAACCAATGACGCTTTCGTAATTAATGCGATTACTCAATATAGTACCAAATGGTGAGTAGTTTCTGTAAAGGTAGTTACAAACATGAAGGAAAGATCGAACAGCACTTTTAAGAACATTGTTTCATATTTTTTTTTTTTTTTTTTTTTTCATTCAATATAACAGTTTTTAAAAAACTGATAGTCGTGAGGTCAAAACAAGGTAGGTAATACTTATCTGTTTCTATACAAAACAAGTTAGGGTCGATTACAGATACTAAACGAAGATTAAAATGATTTTGTTAATGTAAAATTGTCATTTTAAACTTCGCTTAGTAATTTAAACTTCGTTTAACACAACGGTGGAATTGGTCCTTAAACAAATAGTTCAATATTTTTGGTTTGGTTCTGTATATAAATATATAATAATGAGCAAAACGTAAAAATATAATTATCTATTTATAAAGCTGTTTTTTTTTTATTATTACAAACGTTGAATATTTTTTAAAAAAATAATTAAAAAAATTTTAAAATAAAAAAAAAAAAAAAAAAAAAAAAAATAAAAAGTTAAAAAAAATTTTGATTCTTGCGTGCCGTCATTAAAAAATAGAGGGATGGTAAAATTTACACCTTCAGCTAACGAATATGGAAGCTCTTATCTTTTATCTTCTAAAAGCATTCGCCAAGTAATCAACCCATTTTTCTGAATAAACTCTGCATTTAGTTCAGTTGTAGGAACTGCAGTAAATAATTACTCCGTTTGGTATTCCATCATGCATCATTAAAAGGAATTCTTAAAAAGAACATATTTTTAACCATAACAAAATAAGTAGGTACACAATATTGCTGTACAAAATGAAGACAGCAAGTGCATACTCAATTTTGATAGTCATGTTTGCTTTCGCGCCAGTTTACAACGGCAACCGGATGTAGGCAATTAAGTACCCCGGCTTCTTGTCGCCAATTTATTTGTGAACATTCAATGCAAACAAAATATTCGCCTCACGAAACATTTATTGGTTCGATCGCCAAAGGGGGCATGATATAGGCATGACTAGGGTTACCACCTTTTTAAAAATCTGATGTGTCCAACACATGACTTTCCTATCTAGTTTTTATAGGCCTTCTCCGGTTATTTTGTACAACCTATTGCAGCATCTCTATAAATGTTTAGAGGATAAACTAAATATATACGTTGTCCACATACATCTACCTCGAAACATTTTTCTATAGATATTCATTGAAAACGAAAATACTGAAAAGTTTAAATTTAGCACTTTTCCATTACGGTCCATTTTAGAAAAATCATGTATAAACAAAAATTATAGAGATCGATATCGCAAACAACTTTTAGTTCAACAATTTTCATAAAAATCAGAATTTTGCACATTTTGTCAAATTTCTCGGATACGGACCATTTCAGGAAATTTTAACATAAAACAAAAATTATAGATAATAATATTAGAAGTAACTTTTATTTGAACAATCTTCTTCTCCAAACATAAATAACAGATATATTCCATAAAATATAAAAACCGCCTCCCATAAAGTACCCCCCTAGATGTTCCGACTTTGTCCAAAATCTAATCATTTCACTTCAGGCCGAAATAAACCTTAAGTTTAAAATTTAATGTTTTTTTCTTTATCCGTTTTTGAGTTTTCTTCAAAATTCTAAATTTACACATTTTCTCAAATATCTCGAATACGGTCCATTTTAGAGAAATTATGTATAGAATAAAAATTTAGAGAATTATATTACAAACAACTTTTATTTAAACAATTTTTATAAAAAAATATTTTTTTTATATTTTGTCAAATTTCTCGAATACGGACCATTTTAGGAAAAATTTTGTATAGTACAAAAATTATAGATAATAATATTAGAAGTAACTTTTATTTGAACAATTTTCTTCTCCAAACATAAATAACAGATATATTCCATAAAATATAAAAACGGCCTCCCATAGAGTACCCCCCTAGATGTTCCGACTTTGTCCAAAATCTAATCATTTCACTTCAGGCCGAAATAAACCTTAAGTTTAAAATTTAATGTTTTTTTCTTTATCCGTTTTTGAGTTTTCTTTAAAATTCGAAATTTACACATTTTCTCAAATATCTCGAATACGGTCTATTTTAGAGAAATTATGTATAGAATAAAAATTATAGATAATTATATTAGAAGTAACTTTTATTTGAAGAATTTTCTTCTCCAAACGTAAATAGCAGATATATTTCATAAAATATAAAAATGACCACCTATAAAGTACCCCCCCAGATGTTCCGACTCTGCCCAAAATCTAATCAGTTCATTAGACGCTGGAATAAAGCTTAAGTTTAAAATTTGGTGTTTTTCTGTGTATCGGTTCATGAGTTATGCGACCTACAGACACACACACAGACATCATCGCGAAAATAGTCAAAACGGATTCAGGGGACCTCAAAACGTAAAAATCCGTCGAAAACTCGAGGTCGAAAAAAATCATGATTCCTATACTTTCCTTATATCTGTATACAGATAGGAAAGTAAAAAGGGAATAAAGGACATTTTTGCAGCGATGCCACTTTTACTGATTTTTTTTGTAGATCTACCGATTTGACAGTCCATCTACCGAAAAGACCTTATTTTTTACTGATTTTCATTATTTGGTACAATTTCTGGTATTCCTCCATACAAATTAGTATTAAGGATCCATAAATCGGCACATTTTGTCAATAATAAATGACCATAATTTAAATCTTCCGCAGCCACGGTTAAATACATATTTTTTAATACCAAATAAATACTGCCCACTAAACATTACCAGTGTTTTTTGTAACGTTTCTCATAGAGACTTTTCTTGATATATTTTTAAAACGGTACTAAAATATCCCATATTCTATTCATTAACATTCCTCGAATATATCTACAAATGAAGTTTTATGTACGCTGGAATACTTGAATAAGTAGCAGTTACATAAACATCTTTTGTACTTTTTAGTTACTTCCTTCATTTAAACGATGTTAATTTATATAACTCACAATAATATCGCATACAGGTCAGCACAGTAATGTGTACAACGATTCTGGGGGAGAAACTCCAGGTGCGCCCCACGGTTCGGCGGCATTGTTCATAAGGAATGTATGCTCTTTTGTGAGTTCCATGTTAACTTGTTGTCAAAGGTGCTATCTAGGTACTTCACCTTTGTTGCAAAGTTTTATTTTGTGTTTAAGAGCTATGTAGGTTTTAATTCAATTTTCATCCTTTCCTTGTGAAAAGGACCATTTGTCTTCTTGGGATTGATAGAATAGTCCTTGCACCATTGTTTCATAATAATTGTTCTCAAAATTCCCTATTTGAAGAATGACCAGGTCATCTGCTTTCGCTATTGTGTATTGACTGTCATTATTGTACCTACAGTACTTATTTCATTATTAAAATAACACCGGCACACAAAAAAAAAGTCAGACACGACCTACCTACCGGCATGTATTTTGACCCGCTGAATCGGAATTTCAAGTCAGTTTGGGCCGTCCACCCTTCAATATCGAGTAAATTGTAAAAATAAGATAATTAGTAATAAAAAAATTTATGAATCGAAACCAAGCATAATTCTTATGTATTTCGATCCGCTAAATACTGCGGAGGTCATTTGAGAACAAAAAAGTTTGATACCAACAAAAAACAGTTCAAAATCTGAGAAAATCTTTCGCTTCAATCAGTTCATACATCAGTTTTTAGAGATATTGCAAGGGTGGACCGCCCAAACTGACTTGAAATTCGGATTCAGCGGGTTAAAATACATGCCGGTAGGTAGGTCGTGTCTGATGTACAAACAACTTTTTTTTTGTGTGCCGGTGTAATCTATTTGACATAATGAACATAGTAAGATTTTCTATCATTGTTACTTTAGTATGTGTTTAATTCTTATGAACCAAACGACAAAAATTGGTTATTTTTCATACGTTTCCCAGTGTATTAAGTTCCCTTGCTTTGGTACATACGAAAACTAATTCAGTTTCGCTTCTTGGGTAGGTATTCTTTGATTAAGTATTATATCAAAGTTCTTACTTTTGCCTTTGATATTAATTTAGACCATTGTATTATCATACTTTTTTTGTAAAATTACCTGTAGTATTAGAATTTTAACTTGTCTTCTAAGCTTTTAACTTCAAGTTTATTTTTTCTATTCTGTTTTATATAGATGAAATATATAAAATATTTATATAACATAGTCCATATAAAATTTAAAAGACAAAAATAAAAAGATATGAACTCTATCGTATCGTTCGTATCTATCGTATCGTTCATTAATATGATTTTATTGGCTTTATAATAACATCTACAAGAAATAAAAATACTTTCCCAGACAACACACCAAATCCCAGAGATATCCACAGAATATCTTTTGTGGATATCCAATGGATATCATAAATATCCCGTGGATCTAATATGGATATCCAAATGTCCGTCTATATCCAGGATATAGAAGATATATGGATATCCAGCAAAATATATAATGGGTATCTCCCAGACAATACACGAAATCCCAGAGATATCCACAGAATATCTTTTGTGGATATCCAATATATCCTCAGGATATCATAGATATCCACTGGATCTAATATGGATATCCAAATGTCCGTCTATATCCAGGATATAGAAGATATTCTATGGATATCCAGCAAAATATCTAATATATACCTTTAGTAGAGGGATATATCCTATAGATGTTTAACATATCCAGTGTACATCCATTATTTGATGTATTTAAGATATCGAAAATTATATGTCTATAGGGTGTCGTAATTAATGCTTCATTATTTTTTTAAGATAATTATTGTTTCACTTTCAAAAAAAAAATTAATGAATCATTAAATACGACACCCTATAGGCATATAATTTTCGATATCTTAAATATATCAAGTAAAGTACCTTTATTCTTTATACGACTGATAAAATTTGATATTTGATGGTTGTATTTTAGGTTTTAGACCATGCTCGACTTTTTATAAAGAATAACTTTTTTTCCTAAAATTAGTAATAAAAAAGATTTTCATATGCCGCCAATTTACGTATCCTGTCTAGGGTTTCCATTATCGATAACCGGTAATCATGACTACCGAAACTACTGATAAATTTCGAGAGCAAATGCCCAGTAATTTCATTCTTAACAAAATTAGAAGCTACAGAAAAAGATATTCGTGAAGGGATTAGTGCTTTATACCAAACATATCCTGAAGATATGGAAATGAATCTTGTAGAAGTCGAGCATTTTCATCAATATTTATTTGAACGATCTTGTCCAATCAGCATTCCCTAATGTAGAAGCAATTTTGAGATTATTTATTATATAGTATGTTGGTTGCAAATTGCTCTGGAGAAAGATCTTTTTCTCAGTTAGAGGATAAAAAAATAATTTAGAACAACAATGACAAAATAAATTATGTTCCTTCAGTCTCACTTTCATAAAAAGTGAGAAACTATATAGGCAGTTTATCATTTGATGTGGTCATCAGTGACTTTGCTCTGGAAAAGGCAATAAAGAAAATATTTTAGTTTAATATAATTCCTTAATCCTTATAACATTTTTCAAGAGTATTAGATAATAGTCTTTTGTAAATTGTAGCTTTAAAAAATGATTTTAAGTTTTAAAGATTTATTATTTATATACTTTTTAACTGTATTTCTGTTTAACCATCTAGGTATCCGGAAATCATATTTGGCACTGACATATTATTGAACAAAGGGCCCCATATCTTAGATATAGCTTAGGGTCTTATCTAGTCTAAATCGGCCCCTGCTCAAACTAAGATTGGTGAATGTTATATCAATAAAAGAATACGCAAATAAAAACTTCATTTTTAATGAAATTATAAATAAATATAATAAAATATAATCATTTAAAAAAGTTTAATCTTACTCATCAGGCATCATATAGGACAAGCAATATTCTTTTTAATATATATTAAGTTTTTCTAACTAATAAAAATAGTACCACAGAAATTACTTAAAATACTAATTAATAAATATCTTTTTAAATAAAAAATCACAAATTCTTAACAATTACGAAATAAGGGACAATCGAGGTTCAGTGTGTTAAGAGGTTAAATTACATGTAATTTTTGGCAATTAATTTTGTGTTTAACAAATAATTAAAAATGTTAATACTTAATATGCTACTGCTCTCTTCATATTATGCCAATGTACATCTAGGAGGACTAAAATAAATTTTTCTACATTTTTAATTGTACAATCTTTAAACAATATTTTCCAAAATATTATTTAGTAATTTAGAACAAGACTATCAAACTGCAAGCAGCTTTTCTCAAAATGGGGTATTTTGACAGTAACCAATATAGACGTTTATTTGAATCTATTCCATGTAAAAAGCCTATTACATACAGTACATGTACAATTTGAGTCAATGTTCTGTAGAATTAGTTTCCTGTTATCTAGAGTTGGGGAATAAGGTAGCAACATGTGAGAATAAATGAATTTTATATGTAGCATAACTGTTTTTAAGCCATTCCAAACTGTATGTCATTCTTATTAGATATTTTGATTCAGATAAAACATCTAGAATTTAAGATGTTTATGACAGAAGCTTCAACAAAATAAAGCCATATTCGAGTGGTCTCATTGGTTTTAAATTTTTTTTAACTACTTTTAGAAACAGTTTTAATAGTATGTCATATATTTTGATGTGCTCAAATCCATGATTTTAAAAGTGATGTTACTATAACAGTTGTCATCAGATCCATAGGATTCGTACATGAGTGTTTTGTGAATCTCTAGTAGTAACACATAATTTGTATGCCTCATATGTCACAGTTTAAAATTACCAATTTTTATGAAAGATGGATCATGGTATATTTAAATAATTTACATAATCATGCATTTGTCTATTTTTCTCATATAACTATATAAAATAATATTTGTGATGTCATTGTTTTGTCAGTCAAAAGGGAATAGTTTCACCACCATAAAATATATATAAAAATCAGTAGACCGCTCAAAAATGGCTTAGGTTTGTTTTTACAAAAAAAACATTTTTCATACACTTAGGTATAGGTACCTACTTACCTATTTACCTAATTTTTCATAGTCAGAAAGGTTATGTAATGTGTATAACCATAAACATGTATTAACACATTCATTGACGTTTCTAAAAAAGATGCTATACTTATGCATGGTAAAAGTGGTTGTTCATTGAGTAGGACTACATAGTAAAGCTTTGCCTCATTAAGTTATAACAATAAATTAGGTATGTATCTTAGATATTAAAAAAAAACAATACTTTTTAAAAAGTTGCTTTTTTAAGCCACCAATTTTATCTATTTTCCAGTGCCATAATGCAAACTTGTCATATAAAAACACTGTTATTGAATGTGTAAATTTAAGCCAATTGACTTTAGTGCAGTCAACATTAAAAATTGTATCACAATAATCAAACTTCACTATCTACATTGACTGGAGCTAGTTCCCCAAAACAATGTTTGGCTTTAGGATCCTTATAAGAATTTTCATGCTGAACACTCTCTGAATTAGTACGACACTTAGCTAAACAAAGTTCAAAGTGATCTGCCACTGAAGCGAACAGAACATTGTTCTCTTCAGAAGCTTTACCCAGTACATTTTCAAGAACTTCTTTTTTATCTGGTTGTAAACAACAAGAAATGCAATGTTCGTAAATCGTACAACAATTATTCGGTTTACAAGTTTCGCAGTTATATTGAGTTACACTTGCTAGCAAATCATTGCAACATCCATTTTGAAGAACTTCACTTATGAGACAAAGATAACCCCGGTCATCGACTATCAAAACCTTCCCTTGAACGGAATTTCTACAATTAGTGTCATCACTACTAGAATTATGTTGCTGCAAGCTTCTCCATATGAAAGGTTGAGTTCTTTTAACAATCATTACATCATCATTGTTTAGAAAATCGGTTTTTCCTAGGTAACTTATAACGCAGTAACTGAACGATAAAAATAATATGAGGCCTAGAATTAGTCTTCTTCGTAGAAAACGAAAAATTGCACTATACCACATTTTATCATAACATTGTTAGAAATAATTTAATATTTTTTGATGATGAATGGAAAAGGTTATGTTTTGATTTCAAAAAGTATTATGTCATATGTCACATGCATAGAACGTCACATGTCACATCAAAGATCAAACCAATGTTGCCAGCTTAGACTAGGTGTTGCCACCATCGAGATAGATGCCATCTCGATGACTGCCAGTTGCCGTTGCCATAGAGACAGAAGTTGGAAAGGCTTTTGGTAAGGGTTGCACATGCACATTTTACGCAGGTAGAGAGGGGATGGGCTACGGTCGATATAAGGTCCAGTAATTTTGTCACTTTTTCCATAAAGATTAAGTAAAACCATAATATTTTTACACTTTTTAATCTTCTATAAGTGTGCACTAACCTAATTAAAGTAACAAATATTATTAAAACACATTTGTAAGCTAAAAAATTAAGAATATGCATTTATTCACTACATTCTCAGCCATATTGTTTTTAATTTTTTCGATTTGACAGTCACACTAAGAGCGCCTGTGCGTGATTTTGGCGATGTTGACAATTGCTTTTTGTTATTTGTTATAAATAAATATATTCATGGTAATACCGTTCTATATTATTTTTTATGAATAATATGACAACTGATATTTTTATTTTTATAAATGTGGAGTTGTCAAACATAGTAAAAGAACGTACATAACAGGAATGACAGTGGCTGTTTTTTCAATAGCTCCAAGCCAAATGATAAAACCAGAATATAAATGTGTTTATATGAGACTTTTCATTTCAAATATTTAATTTGAGCTGTGTCCAGGCCGTTGGAGTCTATGTCGGTCGGAGTAGCCAGGTATGGGTTAATGTTTTTTGGTGGCGGCTTCGCCGCCACCCTACGATAAGTCGTTGCTTCGTTTTCTTGTTGCATATTTATGGATCGGTATGCGCAATCACAATTTTCCATTAACTACTAATTTTATCACAATCCGGCAACGTTGTAATTATATTTACTAAATTTGACAGAAACCATTGAGTTTCCATGTTTACAGTCGTCAAAATGCCGATTTTTATAGAAATTAAATAATTTTTTTTGGCTTAAATAATGCATTTACCGCAATTTTTTTTTAAATTACTATTTAAAATACGCTCTTTCTGATAAAAAATAAATTTCTTTAAAATTTTACTGGACCTAAAGTGGACCGTACCCAGGGGATGTTTCTCGGTCAACACTTCAGGGCCGTTTGCCTTTTGCCTTTTGCCATTTGCCATTTGCCATTTGCCATTTGCCTTTTCCCTTTTCCCTTTTCCCTTTTCCCTTTTCCCTTTTCCCTTTTCCCTTTTCCCTTTTCCCTTTTCCCTTTTCCCTTTTCCCTTTTCCCTTTTCCCTTTTCCCTTTTCCCTTTTGCCTTTTGCCTTTTGCCTTTTGCCTTTTGCGTTTTGGGTTTTGCGTTTTGCGATTTGCGATGAGTGGCATATAGATCCGCTGTCAATGAATCTACAGGGCAAACACCAGCAAAGGTGCTGTTCAGGCGTGAGATGAGACTACCACGCGACCTCGTGTATGGATGCCGATCTAGAGAATACATAGCCGATGAAGATTATGTGATCCAGCTACGAAGAAAAATAGACGACATGCATAAGTTAGTTCGCTCGCATCTTCAAATCGCCAGTGACAGAATGAAGATATGATACCCAAGCCTTAGAAGGATGTTTCATGGAAGGCGACAAAGTCTGGCTTCATAACGAGTGTTGTCACCTTTTTGGAACATGAATAAAGGACATTTTAAAAATATCTTGAGAATATCACGGTAAACCACTAAAAATGCAGCGCAGGCAGTTTTTTTTTCACTTTTTAATAACTTATTAGGTCTTAATTATATAAATGAATAAATAAATATACATAACTAAAAAATATATTAAAAACTAAAAAATGCTTCAGTATGGTTTAGCTTGTGCGTCCGCTAAATTCAGCGGCCCTAATTAAAAATATGAAATGGTTCGAATTGTGCGACACTGGCAGTGGACGCACAAGCGGAACCACCATACCTCTAGAAAAAAATGGACACATATAGAATGCGTTCAGAAAAACCGCCTGGGACTGGATTTATGTTTCTGGAAGCGCGCATAAGTTAGTGTCGAAAAATAGTGATATATGAAATATAATTTTTAAAAAGGACATTTTAAGGTTTAAAAAGTCACAAGGACAGTTGTTTTCAAAAAAGGACAGGTGGCAACCCTATCCATAATCCAAAAAGACAAAAGGGTTATTCTCCGAAGCTTCAAAGATTTTGGGAAAGTCCGTACCTCATCAAGAAAAAAATTAATAATGTCATTTACCGTTTAAGTAAGATCCCGAACGGTATACCGAAGGTAGTTCACCAAAATCGGCTGGCACCATTTGAGGGAGACCATGACGACGAAGAAGAAGTTAACCAGCTCCAAGAATCACCTGACCTTGTCTTTGAAGAATTTATGGGCATATGGAGGTACCGGAAAAGCAAGACATGCTACAACCGAGCCACAACAAGACCTGCTCGCGGTCCATAGCACTTCAGCCAGCGTCAACGACACTCGAGGTGTGGCATTTGTGTTCCGGAAGAAGTTTGGACGATTGTCAGTTACCAGTCCCTGAAAAAGTCTTAAAACTTCAAAATGGGTCGCGTTACCTTTTCTACTTGGTAACAAAGAACACCTTCCGAGATCGATCCACTTATCATAATGTATTTGAAGCATTACTGAGGGAGCACGTACTGAAGTCCAATGTACACAAACTAGCCATTCCCAAGATAGAGAGCAACCAGTTAAATTGGAGGACCATTAGAAACATGCTGGAAGTAATCTTCTAAGATTCCGAGGTCCAAATACTGATCTGCAGCCATTCGCCTAAGCTCCAGGTTTCAGCAAAAACCGTCTCTTGTTATTTCCATACGAATGGAAATTGTAAACGTGGACTCAGTGGCAGATACAATCATTCAGTTTTAGTTCCAGCAGGAACTATTTCTTAAGGAGGGGCAATTATGCGCGAAGCCGTCTCTGTTCCTTGTTTACTACCTTACCCGCGATATGAAGTCTAGCGCTGACCATATCGAGACAAACGCACTGCTTCGAGAAGCTACCAGAAAAATCGATGCGGGTCATAGACGAATAAATTCCGGAAATTCTAGACCAAAATATACTAATGCAGAGCTGGCTTTATATAAGGTAAGTGCAGGGAATAGCGCCACCCTAACGTTTAGCTGTTTCTATTCTGGAAATAAATAAACTACAGACAAAGGGGATATTAACATTTTACTGAAATAAACATAGTTTATTAAAACTTTAATAATTTCGGTTGTACATTAAAAATAAAAAAAAAATGCAAAGTGGCTTTATTGCTAAGACAGGGTAAGCAATAACGCCCCATACTGAAGATATTCAAACTAGAAAAACAAAATTTCAAGAACAATAAGGACATATGTAGCCTTCCTCCTTATTATCCTTTGTCAGTCCTATGCATTCATCATGCAGGTAGCACCGACACGAAAAACAAAAATGCATATCAGCCACTCTTTCCTCCTTGCATGCTTTGCAATACCAACTCTCTGTATTTTTACTGGACATTTTTTTAATGGTCTTTGGTTTAAATTTGCCTTTGGATTTGTTCACAGAGCTGGTAGAACCTGTTTTAGCATTAGTGGCAGATGTAGTTCTCTGTGCATCAGGATGTTCAAAAAGATCTTTTTTTACAACTTGTGCTCTGCTGTTAAGAGCCGGTTTTCTATTCCTCGTAGATGTGCGTGTTGGTTCTAGAGTAGGAAGCATCTTGGAAAACGATGTATTGACAAAATTGTATTCTTCAGGAATAACATTTTCTTCATCGTCACTATCAGGTGATTCCCACTGTTCTGTGTCACTAGTATCGCTGGAGTCACTATCTTTAGGCTGGGTATGATGGAAGCGGCGCTTTTCAACTGACTGTTGTCTTCCTGAAGGACCTGGTTCTGGAGTTACTTCTCTATTTATTCTGTCAACTAACACTTGCCCTTGAGGACCTGCTATTTCAGGGACAACCACTTGGTGTTGTTCTGCTATTTTAGGGAGCTCATCAAGGTTTTGATTCTCAGTAACAGCACTTGGTGCGAAAGCTTCCTCAGGTATTTTATCGGAGTCGAAGGGGCATATACCACACGCAGCAAACCCTGATTTTATATTGTTTGGTGTCATAGACTTATCCCAAACAGTTGTAAAAATACTTCCAAAGCGCTGTTTTGTCAACGATCTATCTAGATGGTTAGCCCAGAATTTTAGTAGGTACTTCATCATCCCAAAAATGTTCAAACGAATGAGAGACCGCTTTGTCCAACGGCTGTAGCTCGTGAGTGGTGTTGCTTGCAAGCAGTAAAGAGTTATTTCTAACTTATCAGCGCATGTTACTATTGTGTAATCTAAATGGGACTTCAATCCATCAAATATTAACAAACAAGGACCAGGTAACTTAAAGCTTGCAAAATGACGAAGCCATATTTTAAATGCTTCGATTGTCATACTGCTCTTTGCAATCATCAGCGCTGTACTTCCTGGCGGTAAATTATCAGTCCACTCTGCCTTCATTCTTTTGCCCTTAAACAGAATTACAGGGGGAATAGAAACTCCCATAGCATTGCCATATGCAACTACCGTTACGTTCTCTGCATGCTCTTTGGCTACAAGATGTACCCGTTTTGCTCCTTTTTTTGCGAGTATTCCTTGCTGATGATGCAATGTAAGAAGGCATCCCTTTTCATCCATATTATAGAGAAATTGGAGCTTTTCCATAATATCTAACTCTGTCATTATTTGTTTAAGTTTTTTAAAATGATCGCCGACAATAAATTTGTTTAATTTTTGAGCTCTGGCAGGATTCATATTTTGAGCTCTACGAATTCTGATTTCTGGATGCCTATTAAAAAACTGTTTTAACCAGTATCGGCCTGCCATTTTCTTTTGTGCATTAAATGGATTTGTAATCTTGTTCGGTTCGCAAAAAGTATATACACAACGGCACAAAACTTTCCTATTTCCTATTTCGGCCAAACGAAGTATTCTTTTAGACAGTTCTTCTTCATTGTCAAGAGAAAGAATAGTTTTTCGTCCCATTGCACGTTTGGCCGTAAATCCTTTTTTTATGTAATCTCGCAAAGTTATACGTGGCATGTTAAGTCTTGTGCTAGCTGTTTTTACAGCCATGCCATTATTGATAGCACCCAGCGCCATTTCCAAAATTTCTGAGCTCCACTTTGCTCTTACTCCTCGGTTTCTTTGTTTAGGCATCTTTAGTCTATCTGCAAAATAACAAAATTGCACTCTAAAAACGGTAGTTGACAATAACGCCACTGGCGTTACTGCTAACTATCACCTGTGGCGTTATTGTTAACAGTTACAGATATGAATAAAAAATTGAGTACCAAATTAAAAAAAAAATACATTATAAAAGAGCAATTTCCCAAACAATAATCCTGATAGACGACACAATAACCTCTGTAATTAAAAAATACTTACACTCCAATTTGAGCACGTGCACCACACTTTCAAAATTCCTTTTTTTCTTATAGTGACACTCAACAATACGTCATACCTCATAACT